CCTGATGACAAAATGAGCAAAAAGCCGCATAGTCCCGATACCCTGTTTTACTCAATTTTTAACCTATAATGGATCTCGATTGTGGGTGAATCGAGGACTATTTTTTTAGTGTTTTCTTTTCGATCTAAACAATACTATGGTTAGATAAATAGCAAGATCAATCTCGTCGAAAACATGATGACAAACCTAGCAAAAAGCCGCATAGGCTTGATACCCTGTTTTACTCAGTTTTTTAGCCGATAATGGATCTCAATTGTAGGTGAATCGAGGACTATTTTTTTAGTGTTTTCTTTCCCATCTAATCAATACTAAGGTTAGGTAAATAGCAGGGTTGATCTCATCGAAAAGCTGATGAAAAAACGAGCAAAAAGCCGCATAGGCCCGATACCTTGTTTTACTCAGTTTTTCAACCGATAATGAATCATGATTGTCATTGAATCGAGGACTAGTTGTTGGGTGTTTTCTTTTCTATCTAATCAATATTGTGGTTAGGTAAATAGCAGGGTTGATCCCGTTGAAAACCTGATGACAAAACGAGCAAAAGGCCGTATAGGTTCGATACCCCGTTTTGCTCAGTTTTTCAACTGATAATGGATCTTGATTGTGGGTGAATCGAGGACTAGTTTTTGAGTGTTTTATTTTCCCTCTAATCAATACTATGGTTAGGTAAAAAACCTGGTCGATCTCATTGAAAACTTGATGACAAAACGAGCCAAAAGCCATAGAGGCCCGATATCCCTTTTTACTCAGTTTTTAACCGGTAATGGATCTCAATTTTGGGTGAATCGAGGACTAATTTTTCAGTGTTTTCTTTTTCTGTCTAATAAATTTTGAGGTTAAATGAATAGCGTGGTCGATCTTGTCGAAAACCTGATGACTAAATGAGCAAAAAGTCGCATAGGCCCGATACCACGTTTTACTCAGTTTTGGAGCTGATAAAGGATCTCGATTGTGGGTGAATCAAGAACTAGTTTTTGAGTGTTTTATTTCTTTCTAATCAGTGATAAGTATAAGTAAACATCGAGGTTGATCTTGTCAAAAACCTGATGACAAATGAGTAAAAAGTCTCATAGGCCCGATATCCCGTTTTACTCAATTTTTCAGCCCATAATGGATCTCGATTGTAGGTGAATCGAGGACTAGTTTTTGAGCATTGTATTTTCCATCTAATCAATATGGAGGTTAGGTAAATAGAAGGGTTGATCTCGTTTAAATCTGATGACGAAACGAACAAAAAGCCGCATAGGCCCGATACCCCGTTTTACTCAGTTTTTTAGCCGATAATGGATTTCGATTGTGGGTGTATCGAGGACTATTTTTGGTTGTTTTCTTTTCCCTCTAATCAGTACTAAGGTTAGGTAAACAACATGGTCGATCTCGTCAAAAACCTAATAACAAAACGAGAAAAAAGCCGCATAGGACCGATACCCCGTTTTACTTAGTTTTTTAGCTGGTAATGGATCTCGATTGGAGGTGAATCGAGGACTGGATTTTGAGCATGTTTTATTCTTTATAGTCAATACTGAGGTTAGGTAAACATCAGGGTCGATCTCATTGAAAACCTAATGACAAAACGAGCAAAAAGCCACATAGGCCCGATACCCCGTTTTACTCTGTTTTTTAGCCGGTAATGGATCTCGATTGGAAGTGAATCAAGGACTAGTTTTTAGCATTTTATTTTTTTCAAGTCAATACTGAGGTTAAGTAAATCGCAGAGTGGATCTCGTTGAAAACCTGATGACAAAATGAGCAAAAAGCCGCATAGGCCCGATACCTCGTTTTACTCTGTTTTTAGCCAGTAATGGATCTCGATTGTGGGTGAATCGAGGACTATTTTTTTATCTTTTTATTTTCCATCTAATCAATACTAAGGTTAGGTAAACATCGTGGTTGATCTCGTTGAAAACATGATGACAAAACGAGCAAAAAGCCACATAAGCCCGACACCCCATTTTAATCAGTTTTTTAGCCAATAATGGATCTCGATCATAGGTGAATCGATGACTATTTTTTAGCGTTTTATTTTCTGTTAGTCAATACTTAGGTTAGATAAACAGCATGATCAATCTCGTCGAAAACCTGATGAGAAAACGAGCAAAAAGCCGCATAGGCGCGACACCCTGTTTTACTCAATTTTTAGCCAGCAATGGATCTCGATTGTACAAGAATCGAGGCCTATTTTTTTAGAATTTTATTTTCCATATCATCAATACTATGGTTAGGTAAATAGCACGGTTGATCTTGTTAAAAACCTAATGACAAAACGAGCAAAAAGCCGCATAGGCCCAATACCTCGTTTTTCTCTGTTTTTCAACTGATAATGGATCTCGATTGTGGGTGAATCAATGACTAATTTTGAGCGTTTTCTTTTATATTTAATCAATACTGAGGTTAGGTAAATAGCAGGGTTGATCTCGTCGAAAACCTGATAATAAAACAAGCAAAAAGCCACATAGGCCCGATACCCCGTTTTACTCAGTTTTTTGCCAATAATGGATCTCGATTATGGGTGAATCGAGGACAATTTTTTGACTGTTTTCTTTTCTAACTAATCAATCCTGAGGTTAGGTAAACAACAGGGTTGATCTCGTTGAAAACCTAATGACAGAACGAGCAAAAAGCCGCATAGGTCTGATACCCCGTTTTACTCAGTTTTTAGTCGGTAATGGATCTCGATTGTGGGTGAATCGAGGGCTAGTTTTTTAGCATTTTCTTTTCTGTATAATCAACACTGGGGTTAGGTAAATAGCGTGGTCGATCTCGTCAGAAATCTGATGACAAAATGAGCAAAAAGAAACATAGGCTCGATACCCTGTTTTACCAAGTTTTTTAGCCGATAATGGATCTCGATTGTTTAATCAAGGAGTGAAAGATTAACATGAAATCAAATCACTTAAGAAAATGTAGAACTTAAGTTACTACCTTCAAACTGGATCTGCATCTTCACGAAGATCATGCAACCAACTGCTACAATTGTTTGTACCTGTAATAAAGAATACAAATTCAGGAAAAATATGGAACTATTGAATTGTTGCAAGCCTCACATAACAATTTATGGGCTTAAAATCATTAACCAAATCAATCATTATAAAATGAAACACTCACAACTCACATTTTGAAACTTGAATGTAGCACCGCCCTATCAAACTTAAACATAATGTGGTCAATCTACTATTGAATTCCCTTAAGTTAAATGTTTCTTGCCATTATGTTCATTTACCACTTTTGAGGATAAACAATTAACTTTAATATAACCAGGTTCTACAAGAATTTATTTTGCTCAATTCTTAAATTTTAGGTTGAATATTCGTCTGTCTTTTCATATGGGACATTTATCAACCTATTGAAGATTTTTCCTTCAGTGTTTATTCTTCTTAAATTTTGCCTGCTAGATCCTTCCTTATCTTCTACCATGGTGAGATTTGCTTCTTATATAACCCTGTGCAAGAGTCTCAAATAAAAAATTGCACGCACATGACAAATCCTATCTCCTAAAGATAAATGTGACAAAAGCAGAGTTTGTAATGTTTCTTGTGCTTTTTTGCCTATCCATTCTAGAAGTTAAATCAAATATTGATTCAAAATTTCATTATACATGATTATAAGATACTCAAACCAAGCTATTCCTTCTTTGCTAATAACTAAATCTAAAAATGATGCAATTGACCTAGTGCTAAAAACCATAAATTAAATGCTATTTTTCCATATTGTTTGTCTTTTAAGTGAAGATAAATTACCAATAGTCAAAATTTATTTTATAAGAATAATCATTACTCTATCCCTCGAATTTACATTAAACAGTTATTGGTAAGCCTATTAAAGGTATGTTCTACCCTGATGATGCGTTTTCAACTTTGCCTAGTAGGTATTTATCTTCTGCTATAATGATATTTGCATCATAGATAAATTACTTTAATAGTCTTGAGTAAAAAATAAATCTAATCTTACCAGCAGTAAACCTAACTTTTTTTCCCTCCTAAGGAAAATAATTAAAATTTAGAGTAAGTTCGTGTTTATAGACTTTTAAGATAGCTATCAATCTAAAGTCTTACTAAAGTATTTCAAAAAAAAGTTAACAAAATTCCCAATAGCAAAGCCTAAACATAATGTGGTTATTCTACTATTGATTTCCCTTAAACTAGATGGTTCTTATGTTCGTTTATTATCTCTGAGTAATCTTTAAGGTGATTTATCTTTCTATTAATATAACATTCTCAATAATACAACATTTCTTGAGTCAAACGTTTCCTTAATATATTAAAAAGTGTTAATTAGTAATCAAAACCCGAACCCACCAATTAAAAGTTTGTTATTGGGCATGTCTGCTGAGTAAAGATGACCCATTTATTGACCCCTAAATTAACTAAAATAAGGATTTTAAAAATATTTATTTATAAACATCAACTGAATTAATCTACTTTCTAGAATATGGGTTTTTAATTGGGTTAATGGGTGCTGGGCCTGGAATTTTGGGGCTGGACATCAAAATGGAAGATGGGGTTTGTTGGTGTGATGGATACATGGGCTGTTCATTTTGGGCAGTAGCGGGCTGATTGGTATTGGGCTGGCCATGGTGTGTTGGGCGTGTGGGCTCTTTTCCTGGACAGATGGTATGGGTTTTTCGTAGGGGCTGCTTGGTGGGCCGGCTGCACGGGCAGGCATGTGGGGGATGTTTGCGTGGAGAGAAACGTGGGCCATCTGCGCCAGACTGTGTTCCTTTCTGCTTGGGCCTCCTTATGCAAGGTTGTCCATTTTGATTGGGCACTTTTTTGGGCCAATTGCTTGGACATTTTGTGTGGGCTGTGTGCTTTTAGATTTATTCTTCCTTTTATGGGCTCCCCTTTGGGTTGTGCTGAGTCCCTTTTTTGGGGGCGTACATCCTTTGGTCCATTGGCCTTTTTTGATTAGTTTTGCCTTGGGCATGTCCAAGGAATTAGCGTAAAGGAGAGTTCCCTCTCCTTCCCCTTGTATTTTTTTTTATTCTTTTTCAATAGAATAGAATTACCCGAAAAAAAAAAAAAAAAAAAACTCTCGTGTGTTAGCTTGTTTCTCCTTTTTTTTGAACCTAACCTAACCTACCTAAACCTCCCCAGTAGTAATCTTATTGATCATGATTTGATGATATTGAGCATTTGAATTTGACTGTGTCAGTGGATTATAATAATAGATGGGATCTTGCTACTCTAAACCAGGGAAGGGTAACACTGATAGTGATAAAGCAGTAACACAGACTGAAACGCAGCGTCAAGGTTCTTCTTCAAGGTCTGGGAGGTGGAAAAAGAGCAAAGACGCTTTTCTTCTCAAGAAAAAATCAGCTCAAGATGCCGAGCTTCATCAGATTTCTGGTAGGATCTTCACAAATGCTGCAACTAAAATCGCCTGCTTGTATACCCAACAGGGCAAGAAAGGAACCAATCAAGACGCCATGCTTGTTTGGGAGGTTCAGTTTTCTCATTTTCACACTTTTTTACCCTCAAAATTACTTCTATTATGTGCACGCATTTCTGTGTTTTATCTTCTTCAATTTGATCACACTCTGCACAGATGATTTGAAATGTGATGGTTTTAGGATAAGTGAATTTCAATGCGCTAGCATCGAATTGTGCATTGTAATAGTTAATTAATTTTAATATTGTTCATTTCATATGATGAGGTGATTCTATAGGAAATAAAGCAAAATATATGCGGAATTCTGGTTTTGTGTTTTGAGTGTTTTTAATATTAATCCTATATAAATGCAAATAAGTGTTTCTAAATTTCGTCTTAAGTGAGCAAATTCGTGATCTATAAATTAGCTCTAGTAGTGTATGAGCAAAGGAGGTTAATGGATGGAGCACGACCAGAATTGATTATTTTAACTTCAAATTACCTCTAGGAACTGGGGATGTCCTTGTAAATAGATTTCATACTGTGGGAAATAGATATGATCTTGCTACTTGGATAGTTATTCCTGTCAGATGTTGAGTGAACCAGTACTCTACACTATATCACCTTTTCCATTTTGTGCACATATGAGTTATATTTTCTAAGGGTGATTCTAAAGTGACATGGTCATTAATAAGGCACAATAAACCACACACAAGTACGCATCATGTTATAACCTATTTTTCTTTATTAGTGTTTTTATTTTTCTATTTCTTGGGTTACCCTGCATCAGCAGCATCACAATATTTATGCTGCTGCATTTATTCAAATTTCGCTTGTAAGTCTGTTTGAGTAGTGTAAAACCATCTCATATCTTTTAAAGGGAAAATATTAGCCATACGCTTCTCCTTTGTTTGACAATTTTATGTGATTTTTTACTTGATTGGAATGTTTGTACAACAGAATTTCAGTTCAAGTGATACAATATTTTGTGGGGTATTTGATGGTCACGGTCCCTATGGTCATATGGTTGCAAAGAAAGTACGGGATTCTCTTCCTCTTATACTATGTTCTCAGTGGAAAGCTAGTTCTAGTGGTGACCAGGATAGCCTCAGGAATGGTAATGGAAGCATGAATGCGGAGGAAAGTGCATCACCAAGCATGGATGATGAATGGTTTGAGTCATTGGATGCTAAGGATGATAAGCTCCCTGAGATGTATCTGCCTCTTAAGAAGTCTATATTAAAATCTTTCAAGTTAATGGACAAGGAACTAAAGCTGCACCCAACAATTGATTGTTTCTGCAGCGGGACAACAGCTGTGACCCTGGTGAAGCAGGTATTTCTTCAAGCAACGTCACAAACTAAATTGTGTGATACATCCTACTTGAAATGTCAATATTTTCTAAAATTTTACTGTGGAAAACAGGGTGTTATATATATCTTTTGGAACTTCTGTTGTTGCTACAGAACTTATAAAAGATAAAGTTGAGTGATACTATGAAACATCTGACCGAGGTGCAGAACCTTAAGCGCTTTGAATATGTTGTGGATTGATACTCTATTTTTCGTCAAGGCTAGCCTCACGAATTTTAAGAATTTTGGTTCATACACAAAAAAACAAAAAAATTGCGCCGTTGTTCAAATTGTGACGAGATCATTACAAGAGATACTATCTTTTGTTGTATTTTAAATCTTGTGAATATCTGTGTTTTATGTCGTTTATACCAAAAAAATGTTTTAGCTGAAGAGGAATTTGTGTAGTTATTCAGCATGTATCAGATTGGAAGTGGCATGTTTACTTAATTGATTTTAACAAATGCAAGACTTAGCTAATTTGTTAGTGTGCAGTATTATTTAGTGATATTTTTAGTCTATCCAAATTTAATATGTTGGTTCTATGTGGATAGCTCCTTAATCATTATTCAAAGTACGATGTATTCAGATGTGGACCAGAAACTGGCAACGCTCAGCTGGGGGCCTGAAGCTATTAAGCCTAAGCTTTACTTATCAGTGATTGAATCTTATACAAGGAGGTTAACTAGAGATATAACCTTACTGTTTGAAATACATATAAATTCTGTTGAATGACAAATGAACCATTTGTGCAACACAGAAAGTAAGAATTTAAAATGCCAGTAGAAACTAACAAAAGTTGTTTTAAACTCAATCATCTTTTTTTCTGGGTGGATTTAGTTAATGCAACTGATATTTCAGAAGAAGAAAAAAAAAAAAAAAAATTTAATTAATTAATTAATACAAACATATTGTTTAGACAGTTTTTGTCAAAATTTAGGAAAGATTGATAATTCTCAGATCTTTGATGGATATACAGTTATTTGTGTATGTTGATTAGGACTAAGGATATGAGCAATGATATATTTATTTTAGTAGATGAATGAGTAGTGGGATAGATATTATATTATTTTGTTGAGTATAAGCAAATGAACTGATTTCTAGTTTCTATATATCTTTAAAAAGGATTAAATTTCCTTACGATTATGTTAGATCTTGCTTTACATCATTTATCCAATTTGTTAACATTTTGACTTTGTAGGGTCAGGATCTTATAATTGGAAATGTTGGGGACTCAAGAGCAGTGCTAGCAATGAGAGATGAAGACAACTCTTTGATTGCTGTACAATTGACTGTGGACTTGAAGCCTGATCTGCCAAGTCTCTCTCTCTCTCTCTCTCTCTCTCTCTCTCACACACACACACATGCACATTCACATAAACAGCCACTTTTGTGAGCCTCTATTTACTTGGAAATTTCCAAGTAAAATTTGGGGAAAGAGGGAAGAGGAGGTTTGGGAAGAATGATATTCCTCAATCTAGTGTCAAAAATACATTATACAACTATAAACTTAAATTCCTAATCTTCTTGTTTTCAGGGGAGGCTGCTAGAATCCAGCAATGCAAAGGAAGGGTCTTTTCATTGCAAGACGAACCAGAGGTTGCCCGTGTATGGTTACCTAATAATGACTCCCCTGGTTTGGCAATGGCTAGAGCTTTTGGAGACTTCTGTTTGAAGGATTTTGGTCTAATTTCTGTACCAGATATTTACTATCGTCATCTTACTGAAAGAGATGAATTCATTATTCTTGCCACTGATGGGGTATCTCTTTGTTCCTCAATTATTCCAGTCACTTTTAGTTCTGAAATTCAATAGCTTTCATGTAGCTGTGTCTTTGCAAGTTCTGTGACATGCGTTTCTTTTCTGCCACAATATTTTCCCATTTTACCCATACTTCTTGTGTTGTCTATCTGCATGTTGCTATGATTGATCCATTTTATGTGTAAGTTTAGTATTTTTAGATTTTAAGTCTTTATGATTTTGTGCTTTTATGTGTATTAAGATGGAGAAAACTTCTGCCTCTTAAGACTATTTGATGCTTAGGAGGTGATTTTTTGTGAACATAGGTTTGGGATGTCCTTTCCAATAAGGAAGCTGTAGAGGTTGTGGCTTCAGCCCCTAGTCGTGCTACAGCAGCAAGAGCTCTTGTGGACTGTGCTGTTCGGTCATGGAGGCTTAAGTATCCTACCTCCAAGAATGATGATTGCGCTGTTGTATGCTTATTTCTAGAACATTTATCAACAGTCAATGGATCTGTGGACGATTACAGTCCAACAAAGACTCCTGATGTCTCAGTACAATCGGTGGCAGTCACTGATGAGAAAAATAGGGCTGTAGAAATCAATGACAATTCTCATGCTCCAGTCGTTGAGAATTTGAAAATTTTACAAGACTGTGATGAGATTGTGCCTATATCTGAGTCAGCAGAAAAAAATTCTGAGAAGAGCCAGGGCCAATCGAAGAGGAGCCTAGCAGAATGCATCTCTGTTGCAGAGGATGAGGAATGGTCAGCTTTAGAAGGTATTACCAGGGTTAATAGTCTGTTAAGCATTCCCAGGTTCTTATCCAGTGACAAGAGATCAGCGAGTTGGAGAAACTGGTTGTGAAATGCCTAATCTTGTCCGCTTGTTTTTACTCACAACAAAGTGGAGCTTCAGTGACTGGCGTGTCATGATCTTATCATGCAGTCAGAAGTATTAGAATGAAAAGAATACTGGCATACACTGATGGGGAGACGTCTGTAGGTCTGCTGTTTCCAAATGTAGATTACTGGCACCATACAAATATATCAGTGAGCCTTCCTTGGTCAAGGCTAGAAATTAACTTAATGGGTTCCCTGCTGAAAATGTTGCCAGGCAGATTTTGTGGCTGTTACTACTCTTTGGAGTGCGTTTTGTGGAAGATACATGATGTCTGGTGAAGATTGAGCTTTCGCTTTTAAACTTTTGTGTTTGAAATTTGTCTGATGAACATTTAGCCGCAATACTCACAGAAGAAGACATGCTTTCTTGTGTTTTTTGTTTATCTATTTATAATGCTATATATATAGGAAGGTTGTCTGCAAATATCCCATACCTGATTCAATGCTCTTCTGCAATAAAATCATTCTTTCCATGTGTGAGGACAGATGATTCTAATACTATACTTTTGTGTCATATTCAAGCCTTTAGATTTTAAATTACATATTGCACGTACCATTACAATTAAATCCATAAGATGCTAGGAATCTGAACCCCCGGCAGTCTTTCCCTCTTATTTATTTATTTTTTTTTAAAAGAAAAAAAGATTTGATTTAAAGGGAATATCTTGCATTAGGTGTAAAAGGAAAACTCAATATATCAAAGTATTAAATTTTTTTATCTTTTAGTATTTTTAACGGATCTTTAAATACATATTAAAACAACCTTATTTTATGTTACTAGTTACCTATATACCACAATCTAACAGCGAAACTTGGCCTAATAGTAACATATTTAATCTTACATACCAACTTAATCAAATAAGTTTAAACTATTTACTCCAAGAAATATAATTTGACGATGAGAAAATGGTGAATTACCAAGAAGAATTAATTTGAATGGGTATTAATCTAATTTTTCAATATATTTGTGATAGTGCTCAGCAAAGGCAAAGATTCTCCTAAGCAACAAAAATAGTGGTAGACTTTTGGGTGTGTCAAATCAAACATAATTAATGAGAGAAGGTAAATTTCAAATGTGAGCAGCTTTTTAATGCTTGCACTCCACACTCACACTGTACTGTAAGGAGAAAGGTCTTCCATACATGGGAGTGCAGACATCAAAAGGTGGATCCCAAGTAAGCAGTAACTTCTTTTTATATATGCTTAAATATTATTAAATTTTCTTCAAACCTTGAAGCTTTTCCTTCATCTGTCCTTTTATTCCTCTCTAAATAATTGTAACCGGTTAATTAAAGAGAGAGAAGATTCCTAAAGGAATTAAACTGATCTTTACTTAGTTTATAATTTTATCAAAAGCTTCTAGCATTGGCCTGAAAATCATAACTTTAAATGGGGTTTCAGCAAAATACAGTCTAACACAAAATTTGAATGGACAAAGACTAGAAGCTGGGGGGTATCATCGTTAGTTTCGAAAAACTTTTGTTGCTGAAATATAAAAGACCTTGAGGGGTGTCAATGCGAATGTAAATCCCTCTTAACTAAAAAAAAATTAGAAAGAGTTAACAAGAAGACAAACGTATATACACCTATATTGAGTTATTGGTAGATAATAAGTGTGTTTGTTGATATGGAAGTGTAGTAAAGAAGTTGTAGATGAATTTGAAGTATCTCTTGTCTTGTGGGAGCAGACAAAGTATAGGGAATAGGGATATTCATAACCTAACATATTTATATAAATATAAATCAGCTTGCTGGTGCCATATTTCCTGAAAGAGGATGGTGGCGGAGAAGCCAGGAGAAATATATATTCCTGTGATGATGAACAAGGCAGCATAATAAATGAGGTTTCCCTTTTTGGTGTGTCATATCATTCTATGCTGTTTGCTAGTGATTTGTAAGTAAGGAAGATGCTTTTTTATTGTTTGCATCTGATGCTAAGTAGCACAAATATATGTTCCCTAAAATTGGATGGTTTTAATTGCATTTGCCTGGGGGTCTTTTGCGGTAATTCTTTTGTCCTCTCACTTCATTTGGTTGCTAATTGGTTTGCTTTTTATTGCAACCCAAGATGCTGTAAATTCTAATACTGATTACAGTACTAGTGGTTAGAAAAAGAAAGCAGCCATTTCACACGCACGTGCATGGGACATCGGGACAAGATAAGAAAGATTGGAATAGGAATAGGAATAGGAATAGGGGTTGCTTGGGTTAATAATCAACTCTGTGTCCAGAACTGCTGACACCAAAAGGAGGTGGTTTCCTGCAAGTAAGTTTGGGCAGTGATTGCCATCTGTTAGCTACCTACCCAACTACTATTGCTATCCTCGTCAGGCATAAACAATAGTTTCGTTTAGTTAATTATCCTATTCTTTAATTACCAAGTTTACTATATACTTAGGCCAATTGAGCAGCAGTTTCACTGGCTTTATTTGTTTCCTACTACACGCGGTAAACAAGTAATTAAGCGGTGGCTGTGGCTGTGGTGGTGTCTAATGTCCATGTATTCTATCCTATCTTCTGAAATGAAAAGCCACTCATGACCCAGCTATAGCGAATCCAAGAAACAGACAAGAAAGGCAAAACAGGTGTCAGGGTTGAGCCAATACTGAGGTTAAAGTTGTGCAGTTTGCATTTCCACATTTAAAGCTTTGCGTGTATCTGTTGCTGGGATGGAACTGCTTCATTTTGTCCCACTTAAACCTTTTATTTCATTATACATATATATTCTTTTCCAACTCACATCCACCACTTCCCATTTCACCACAACTTTCGGTAAAAACTGAAACCCTACTTACTCCTGTTAATTGTTTTTATTTTATTTATTTCAATATATATACATATAGCAATTCTTTGATTTCATACATAATCACTATCTACCACTTAAATTAATTACAATTCTATTCCGAAATATGTGTACGTACAACTATGATGAGGTCCTACTTTAATGAAACTTACAGTTCCCTTCCCTGGACTCAAAACAACACGCATATGTAGTAACATATATTAATCAAGTCACAGACTCATAAATGACTAAATTAACTCTATACGTGTATTAGCTACGGAATGAGTTAGAGAGAAGCGGTTTTTGACCATACGAATACGAGCCATCAAATAACCTCTGGTAGAAAGATTCTTCCCAGGGCATATATTTGGAAACTCCATCTTTGGGGTTTCCATTTTGATCATCCAAGATGTTAAAGGGATCAACTTGCTTCTCGGCTGCAAATCCCAAGTTTGGTTTCTCATATGCTATTTTACATACCAAGGTTTCATTCTCATACTATTTCGCATCTCCATGTGTATACCGAGATGACTTGTCAAATAGGGTAGGGCCATATCCAAAAGATTACTTGGTTTATTCCAGTTTTTACTATGTTCAAAATTCTGGATTAAAGATCTACACTCAATTAAACCAAGCACAATTTAATGGATCAATATTATAGTTCTTATGTTTTATTTCATGCATGCTGAACAAGTCAACTACTTGTTTGAGCTCATCACCCATTAAAATTCTAGATTCATTAATAAAAAAATCCTTGAGGGATTATTAATTTTTGTCTTTGATCTATGTACTCTTTTGTTATATGGTAAATTTTATTTGATCGGACAGCATATATATCTTAGCTAGTTTGGGATAGCTGGGATGAGTTTGGACCGGGTTGTGAGATTCTGTTTGACTTTGCCGACTTCTTTGTGCCCACAGAGGTATTCTCATCATCAATTGCTTACTAGCTTATGATAATATATACATATATATATATATATATATATATATATAAATAAAGCAAATAAAATAAAATTGATGGTTGTGGAAGGAGAAGGAAGAGTCTGCTAGTATCACTAACTACTACTATCTAGTATCAGTTCCTGTTTTTGGCAGATTATGTTCTGTCATACAAACTGCTTCATCATCATCACTTACCAATAATAATATACTTGTATGTATAAGTATTAAAGCAAAGCAATGCACACATCTTGCAACCCATGTTTTTATCTTTTCATTTTCATTTTCAGATCATTTAACTACTCTAGATCTTCTTAATTTCTAACCTCCACCTCTCCCTTTGATCGCTATTTCTCATTCATATATATCATATTATCCCTTGCCTGGACTTGGCTACTCATAAACCTAACTATTATTTGGTGTATGAGTAGTGAAGATAGAAGAAATATGCTTGGCTCCCTGAATCCATCTCCTCATGACCACCAAGAACAAGATCCCTCAGCCACAGATCTACAATACCGACAGATTATACAACCATCACCTGCAATCCAAATGCGCCAGTTACTCATCAGTTGTGCTGAGCTCATCTCTCACTCAGACTTCTCTGCTGCTCATCGCCTCATCTCCATTTTGTCCGCCCACTCTTCCCCTTACGGTGATTCTACTGAAAGGTTGGTCCACCAATTTGTTAGAGCACTCTCTCTTCGCCCTAATCACAGCCATGCCACCGCTAGTGCGTTTATATTGAATACAAGTAATGCTAGTACTAGTATTACCACCACCGCCACAACAACAAATATGAGCAGTATCACTCAGTTTGATTCATCCCTTCAGTCATCTTATCTATCCCTAAACCAAATAACACCATTCATAAGATTCAGTCACCTCACTGCTAATCAGGCCATATTAGAAGCCATAGAAGTAGGGCAACAGGCTATCCACATCCTCGACTTTGACATCATGCATGGTGTACAATGGCCTCCTCTTATGCAGGCTTTAGCCGAGCGTTCCAGCGACACTCTCCTCCCTCCTCCTATGCTTCGAATCACCGGAACCGGCCACGATTTGAACATCCTCCAGAGGACTGGTGACCGCCTTTTGAAGTTTGCACACTCTCTCGGTCTCAGATTCCAGTTTCACCCTCTTCTCATCCTCAATGACGACCCTACTTCAGTTGCTCTCTATCTTCCCTCAGCGCTCACTCTCCTTCCAGACGAGGCCTTGGCTGTCAACTGCGTTTTATATCTACATAGACTTCTTAAGGATGACTATCGCGATCTTCGCCTTTTCCTCCACAAAATCAAGGCTTTAAACCCCAAAGTGGTGACCATTGCAGAAAGAGAAGCCAACCACAACCACCCCCTTTTCCTGCAGAGATTTGTGGAGGCCTTGGATCACTACACAGCCATCTTTGATTCCCTGGAGGCGACCTTGCCCCCCAACAGCCGGGAGCGGCTGGCAGTTGAGCAGATATGGTTTGGAAGAGAAATAGTGGACATAGTGGCGGCAGAGGGAGATAATAGAAGAGAGCGGCATGAGAGGTTTGAGTCATGGGAGGTGATACTTAGGAGCTCGGGTTTTGCCAATGTCCCTTTAAGTCCCTTTGCCTTGTCTCAGGCAAAACTCCTTTTAAGACTTCATTATCCTTCAGAAGGTTATCAACTTCAGATTTTTAACAATTCTTTCTTCCTAGGTTGGCAGAATCGTTCCCTTTTCTCAATATCATCCTGGCGCTAATATAATTAATCTATATATATGTTATGATTATGACTAAACACCCACAAGAAGTAATTGAGATTAAAATAAAGATAGAGGGGAATATATAGATATATATATGTGTGTGTGTTTGAGGCCCTTTTTCATCTGTATTTACTTCAACTTTGTGCACAACCCAGAAACATGAAATCCCATGTCAAGATCCACACGAGTCCAAACCTCTTTCTCACTGATGGCTCTGCTATGCGATGCATGCTGGTGAATCTCTGTACGTTGCATGAAATCTTTTTGGTAGAAAATGAAAAAGGTAGCTTCAGAGGCAGCCAAGATGGCTAGCNTATATAAAGCAAATAAAATAAAATTGATGGTTGTGGAAGGAGAAGGAAGAGTCTGCTAGTATCACTAACTACTACTATCTAGTATCAGTTCCTGTTTTTGGCAGATTATGTTCTGTCATACAAACTGCTTCATCATCATCGCTTACCAATAATAATATACTTGTATGTATAAGTATTAAAGCAAAGCAATGCACACATCTTGCAACCCACGTTTTTATCTTTTCATTTTCATTTTCAGATCATTTAACTACTCTAGATCTTCTTAATTTCTAACCTCCACCTCTCCCTTTGATCGCTATTTCTCATTCATATATATTATATTATCCCTTGCCTGGACTTCGCTACTCATAAACTTAACTATTATTTGGTGTATGAGTAGTGAAGATAGAAGAAATATGCTTGGCTCCTTGAATCCATCTCCTCATGACCACCAAGAAGAAGATCCCTCAGCCACAGATCTACAATACCGACAGATTATACAACCATCACCTGCAATCCAAATGCGCCAGTTACTCATCAGTTGTGCCGAGCTCATCTCTCACTCAGACTTCTCTGCTGCTCATCGCCTCATCTCCATTTTGTCCGCCCACTCTTCCCCTTACGGTGATTCTACTGAAAGGTTGGTCCACCAATTTGTTAGAGCACTCTCTCTTCGCCCTAATCACAGCCATGCCACCGCTAGTGCGTTTATATTGAATACAAGTAATGCTAGTACTAGTATTACCACCACCGCCACAACAACAAATATGAGCAATATCACTCAGTTTGATTCATCCCTTCAGTCATCTTATCTATCCCTAAACCAAATAACACCATTCATAAGATTCAGTCACCTCACAGCTAATCAGGCCATATTAGAAGCCATAGAAGTAGGGCAACAGGCTATCCACATCCTCGACTTTGACATCATGCATGGTGTACAATGGCCTCCTCTTATGCAGGCTTTAGCCGAGCGTTCCAGCGACACTCTCCTCCCTCCTCCTATGCTTCGAATCACCGGAACCGGCCACGATTTGAACATCCTCCAGAGGACTGGTGACCGCCTTTTGAAGTTTGCACACTCTCTCGGTCTCAGATTCCAGTTTCACCCTCTTCTCATCCTCAATGACGACCCTACTTCAGTTGCTCTCTATCTTCCCTCAGCGCTCACTCTCCTTCCAGACGAGGCCTTGGCTGTCAACTGCGTTTTATATCTACATAGACTTCTTAAGGATGACTATCGCGATCTTCGCCTTTTCCTCCACAAAATCAAGGCTTTAAACCCCAAAGTGGTGACCATTGCAGAAAGAGAAGCCAACCACAACCACCCCCTTTTCCTGCAGAGATTTGTGGAGGCCTTGGATCACTACACAGCCATCTTTGATTCCCTGGAGGCGACCTTGCCCCCCAACAGCCGGGAGCGGCTGGCAGTTGAGCAGATATGGTTTGGAAGAGAAATAGTGGACATAGTGGCGGCAGAGGGAGATAATAGAAGAGAGCGGCATGAGAGGTTTGAGTCATGGGAGGTGATACTTAGGAGCTCGGGTTTTGCCAATGTCCCTTTAAGTCCCTTTGCCTTGTCTCAGGCAAAACTCCTTTTAAGACTTCATTATCCTTCAGAAGGTTATCAACTTCAGATTTTTAACAATTCTTTCTTCCTAGGTTGGCAGAATCGTTCCCTTTTCTCAATATCATCCTGGCGCTAATATAATTAATCTATATATATGTTATGATTATGACTAAACACCCACAAGAAGTAATTGAGATTAAAATAAAGATAGAGGGGAATATATAGATATATATATGTGTGTGTGTTTGAGGCCCTTTTTCATCTGTATTTACTTCAACTTTGTGCACAACCCAGAAACATGAAATCCCATGTCAAGATCCACACAAGTCCAAACCTCTTTCTCACTGATGGCTCTGCTATGCGATGCATGCTGGTGAATCTCTGTACGTTGCATGAAATCTTTTTGGTAGAAAATGAAAAAGGTAGCTTCAGAGGCAGCCAAGATGGCTAGCTTCACCGTGCACCTTCAGTTGGTTCTTTCTCGGGGTGCTGAAACTACTGAATGTTACTCTAAACTTTTATAGTCGGGTACGTTGACATTATATTTGTTTCCCCTTGTCTCCTTAAATTTCTCTCTTTTATAGTATAACCATTTTCTTAATTAATATTTCTGTAAGAAGTGCGATGTGAAGTGTTACATGATCGATCATTTTAATTAAAATATTTTTATTCCGTTTAAAGTTTGAAGCACCATGTTCCTCTAGACGGTTGTTGGTTTTGTTTCAATAATATTTTAATGCTAATGATGCTTCACTTGCTTGATTTAATATGGCTTTTATTTTATAATGCTGTCTTATCTTCCTTTTTCTCTCTCTTATTAAAGTAATAATATCCATTAGTGTTGCCTTCTTGTTCCCCAAAATTCCTTTGTCTCCTTCAATGGTGTGCTTTCAAGAAGGGACGCATGAGGGTTCTTGTTTTCTGCACTAAGTATCCGCATATATCTGTTGCTGTCTTTCATATTGCACCATTTATTACCCTAATTTCTGCCTTTTGTCCCCTCAACAAAACTATCAAATTTCTCAAACCAAGCTTTTTTCATGCCTACCTTGCCTCCTCTACCACCATGCATATGAACCCCTTTCCTGCTGGGGATCTCTCGTGTTCTGTGGATTTTCAAGGACCACAAAAACTGGTTTTCAAGTGGCTAGTTCCTCAATATTCATATTCAAATTCAAATTCATATAATAATAAATATATACTAGAGCTAGCTACTGTTTTATATATGTATATGAAGTTGATCATAATATAAATGATAAACCTTATAGCATGAGGATATATGCATAAGTTGTAGTGTTGTGTAGAAAGTGTAATGAAATGATGCAAGGATTTTATGTAGATATATGATACCATATGCCACAATAATTAAAGCTTTTAGGTTTCACAATGCTAAGAGTAGAGAGGTAGCTGACATTGATAAGATGGTCACAACACAAAGGGAAGGGAAGGGAAGAGGAAGGGATGNAGGAAGTGTAATGAAATGATGCAAGGATTTTATGTAGATATATGATACCATATGCCACAATAATTAAAGCTTTTAGGTTTCACAATGCTGAGAGTAGAGAGGTAGCTGACATTGATAAGATGGTCACAACACAAAGGGAAGGGAAGGGAAGGGAAGGGACGGGATGACATATCACAAAGTTTAGCTTGCGTGTTGGGAGTTGAGTTAAGACTGATGAGGGCTATCTAGGGTTGGTGCACGCATGGCTTGACAGAAATATATCAAATATCAATCCAACTGATTCAGACGTAACCTCTCCTCTTGGTTTTTGGACGAGACTCAACTTTTGTCATAGAATTTGATACACAGACACCCCACTCAAAACCCCCATTGCAATTATTGCAATGATACATCGATTTGTGGTTGCATTAAGTTTGGATCATTTGCGGCCACAAACAATTCTTTTTCCTTCTTTAATCATTCAAAATGGTAGTAAAGTTGAAGAGGGTGATGTTCATTTGCTAGGATAAGGATATTCCTTCTAACTTATACTTTGTTTATGTTTAGTGGGTATCTTCTTCATCGCTTTAATGCTTCTCATCAGCAACTCCACTCTTTAGTTTTACGTTTAATTTTCTTTACTCTATGCATGAACATGTATATACTTTGTTTTTAATTATGTGTGTGCGTGCCACAGAGATAACTATTTTATAACTCATTCCCAGAATCACTGGGAATTCACCAAGCACAATTATTTATCACAAATTCTGGTCATCAACTATTCTAATCAATTATTATACTACTGGTCCTAACACGTAGATTCTGCCAGTTAACACTTTTTTTTTTTTAAAACAAAAAAAAAAAAAAAAAAATAGATGAATAAGCTGCTAACCGAGTAATATAATGAGCCAAGTACAGTCTATATATGTATTTTTCTATAACGTAACTTAAAAATATAGATAAAATTTATAACTAAAAGATTGCCATCAATTTAATTTCAACATGTTAAAATAAATTATAACATCGAACATTTTTCTGACTAAATTTTAGTTGTTAATAGATATTTAATACAGTATATTATTATTATCATTATTCTCACAGCGAACTTATTCATTGTGGATACTTTTTATGCACCTTTTTTTTATGGCATATAACACATCCATGCTATATTAGGATCAAAACCCTTTTTAATTTGTTTTAGTAAATATTATTTGAGCATTCAAGTCTTTTTCCTTGTTCCCAAAAAAGGGAGATATTTTTAATGTATACTGGATTGTCTGGTATTAAAACTTATTGCATCTGAAAATAATTATTTTTTTTCAAAAGAAAAAACAAGGTAAATTATCGATTGAGTGATAGTTGATCAACAGAGCATGGTGCCATCAAATCAGCCAGATATTTAATATAATGAAACCCCTCAATATTGATATAATATATGATCAACATCGCGTACAACTGAAGACCCTATCAATATGCACTAACGTACAACAGGAGTCAAAAATCAGATTCTTCCACACATTACATTATAAGCTCTTTTCTACGACAAAGATAATGTCTATCCACTCTTCTCACTTAAACTATTAAATCTCAGCTCCAAACTTCAATTAAAAAAATATAGGGTTTTAATCATGGTTGTAAAAGCTTTTAGGGTTTAAAGATTTCAGAAATGGCTATTTCTACAAAAAAGTTGAATATCTCCCAGAGAAATATTAGTGTATGTACAGATGGAGATGACCATTTTTCTTCTTCCGCTAAGATCTCTCAAGTGTGAAATGAAATAACCACACACACACACACACACACACACACAAGTACAGGGATCCATGTTTCTAAATCTGAAACATTAATTTGTTTTATTGATCATATATTCAATACATTACGTATCAGTTACAAGATGGCCTACTTTCCCAACCAGTTCCAGAACCCAGTATTACTTTTTCACGCCTCCCTATTGTGCATGAGGCAATAGGATATACTTATTACAATTCTAAAAATACTCATGACCACGTTTTTTCATCTTCCAGCTTTCTCAACTCTCCTGCAGGGGTGTCTACCAAAATGAGGGCAGAATTGATCTCCTGGGATTCAACATACCAACTACTAAAACGATAGAGCAATTAAAGAGGAAACTCCTTTTGGAGAACATCGAGACTACGCGAATCACAAGCTTCTAGCATGTCATTCCTAGAAGCAGAGCTGCAAGGAAAGAATTAAACAATGATATTAGATGGAAGCTGTGATTGAATGGATATACACCCATTGACCGCATTAATTTATAAAAACAGATTTCTCTTATTTGACCAGTATACCTCAAAGAAATTCTCAAATACTGCCAGGCATTATCTGCCTTGGGATTCATTGCAAGTGCCCGAACATAGTAACGAATCGAATCCTCATACATACCCTACACGAAAATATATGTTTCAGGTTTTTGATGCCCTTAGAAAAAGTAAATCACTATGGCTTGGATGAAAGAAATAGCAGTTATTTATAGAATTCAAACATTTAGCACACTAACAAGGGCCATAAATCAAGGTAACACACCTGGTTTGCATAACTGATACCCATATTTGCCCACGCACGAACATAGTTAGGCTTCAAATCTAGTGCCTGGAAACAAAGAGGCAAACCCAAAAAATAACATGTCAGATTCAAGTCTCAAAAGAAAAGGTTCTAGGTAAAGAGGGAAAAATGACCGAGGAGAAAATACAATCCTTAATTTAATTCTTGTATAAGAACTAAGAAGATGAAATTATGAAAGGTTCATGAAACAGATAAATCTTGATATATAATTCCTCAAAACACCAAGCAGTTATTGCTTGTACTATTAACACAACATAACTCCAAGTACTGCAAGGAAATAGGGGAGAAACCAGACTTTCAGACATATGGATTTTGACAAATTCTTATAACAGATAGTGCAAACTAACCTAGAATAACATTTTTTAAAATACAGGAACACTTAACACAGCTTAACAAACTGTTTAAAAAACAATGAAGTATGGTAGCAACCACACTCTAGCGACGCAACTCTAATTATAAGTGACCAAAGAATGGAATTCAAACATTTATTTGTTTTTTTGGAGAAGTTATATGCAATCAAACAAAGTATAATATACTCCAGCCGGTTTCCAAGGACTAACTATATTGACAGCCTCCAATCCAAGAAAGCCTAAAAAGTGCAAGTCTACTGTCAGCTCTTACTTCCACATCTATCCCTACAACATTTTCAGCCTTTTGCATGCTAGTAGCAGAACTAAGTTCAAATGCAAAGTGAAACACAACAGTAGGAACAAAATCTCACAGATGTTTACACTGATGGGCTAATTGCAGGGCTTACCTGTTGATACGCCAATATTGCATCAGCACTTTGAACACTATTGGCTTGTGTTGCACCAAGTTTGTTCCAAAGAGAGTAATCGTTTGGCCTGAGTTTCAAAGCCATCTGGAAGGACTCAATGGCTTTGTCATACTCTCTGGACAAGTTGTACAAGACACCAAGTACTATGTGTACATCAGCATCTTCAGGTGACATACGGGAGGCTTCAACGAATAATCTAGCAATCTGCATATCACATAAACAAACTGATGTAACACAAGGAAACCTGAGCTATATCATCTTTAAAGAATTTTGTGGTCATTGATAAATTTCGCCAAAAGGATTGCACCATTGTTCTACACTCAAATGTATTGCATGTGATCTAGATGTGTATTGCATGTGAACTAATAACTATAACCTAGCACATTTGTCAAGTAATCAGATACCTTAATAGTGAGAGAAGTTTGAAACTTATCTAGTTAGTTTCATTTATTTACTGAACTATAGTAAAAACTATCATGTTTATCAGGAGTTCACTACAAAGGTTCCAATTTTAACTTTGAAGGGCAGCAAAGGATCTAATGGACTATAATATATCCAAGGGGGAGGTGGACATTATCTTCACAGCACTACCTATTGCAGAGTCTACAGTCAGCTGAGTGATAAAAGAAGACATTCATACTGCCAAAAAAAAAAAAAAAAGAATACTTACATCAGCATAATACAAAGAATCAGCAAGCTCTGGAGTGGCCAGTGTTCCATACTTTGGGTGATGACGCAGCCATCCATACAAGTATTTCAATGCAGCTGCCTGTTCCAACTCTGCAATTTTGATACACAACTAAGTTTTTGAATATCATTATTACTAATTCAAGTTATTTTACCATACCACTCTACGTAATTGGTGTATAAACATATATTTGTTCTATAAAGCCATACATGGCTATATGTAACAACAGAATCTCATCAGGGAATTAACATAAAGCATCATGACCAAAGAAAGTATAGGTAAAAAATATAGGGTTTTAATCATGGTTGTAAAAGCTTTTAGGGTTTAAAGATTTCAGAAATGGCTATTTCTACAAAAAAGTTGAATATCTCCCAGAGAAATATTAGTGTATGTACAGATGGAGATGACCATTTTTCTTCTTCCGCTAAGATCTCTCAAGTGTGAAATGAAATAACCACACACACACACACACACACACACACACAAGTACAGGGATCCATGTTTCTAAATCTGAAACATTAATTTGTTTTATTGATCATATATTCAATACATTACGTATCAGTTACAAGATGGCCTACTTTCCCAACCAGTTCCAGAACCCAGTATTACTTTTTCACGCCTCCCTATTGTGCATGAGGCAATAGGATATACTTATTACAATTCTAAAAATACTCATGACCACGTTTTTTCATCTTCCAGCTTTCTCAACTCTCCTGCAGGGGTGTCTACCAAAATGAGGGCAGAATTGATCTCCTGGGATTCAACATACCAACTACTAAAACGATAGAGCAATTAAAGAGGAAACTCCTTTTGGAGAACATCGAGACTACGCGAATCACAAGCTTCTAGCATGTCATTCCTAGAAGCAGAGCTGCAAGGAAAGAATTAAACAATGATATTAGATGGAAGCTGTGATTGAATGGATATACACCCATTGACCGCATTAATTTATAAAAACAGATTTCTCTTATTTGACCAGTATACCTCAAAGAAATTCTCAAATACTGCCAGGCATTATCTGCCTTGGGATTCATTGCAAGTGCCCGAACATAGTAACGAATCGAATCCTCATACATACCCTACACGAAAATATATGTTTCAGGTTTTTGATGCCCTTAGAAAAAGTAAATCACTATGGCTTGGATGAAAGAAATAGCAGTTATTTATAGAATTCAAACATTTAGCACACTAACAAGGGCCATAAATCAAGGTAACACACCTGGTTTGCATAACTGATACCCATATTTGCCCACGCACGAACATAGTTAGGCTTCAAATCTAGTGCCTGGAAACAAAGAGGCAAACCCAAAAAATAACATGTCAGATTCAAGTCTCAAAAGAAAAGGTTCTAGGTAAAGAGGGAAAAATGACCGAGGAGAAAATACAATCCTTAATTTAATTCTTGTATAAGAACTAAGAAGATGAAATTATGAAAGGTTCATGAAACAGATAAATCTTGATATATAATTCCTCAAAACACCAAGCAGTTATTGCTTGTACTATTAACACAACATAACTCCAAGTACTGCAAGGAAATAGGGGAGAAACCAGACTTTCAGACATATGGATTTTGACAAATTCTTATAACAGATAGTGCAAACTAACCTAGAATAACATTTTTTAAAATACAGGAACACTTAACACAGCTTAACAAACTGTTTAAAAAACAATGAAGTATGGTAGCAACCACACTCTAGCGACGCAACTCTAATTATAAGTGACCAAAGAATGGAATTCAAACATTTATTTGTTTTTTTGGAGAAGTTATATGCAATCAAACAAAGTATAATATACTCCAGCCGGTTTCCAAGGACTAACTATATTGACAGCCTCCAATCCAAGAAAGCCTAAAAAGTGCAAGTCTACTGTCAGCTCTTACTTCCACATCTATCCCTACAACATTTTCAGCCTTTTGCATGCTAGTAGCAGAACTAAGTTCAAATGCAAAGTGAAACACAACAGTAGGAACAAAATCTCACAGATGTTTACACTGATGGGCTAATTGCAGGGCTTACCTGTTGATACGCCAATATTGCATCAGCACTTTGAACACTATTGGCTTGTGTTGCACCAAGTTTGTTCCAAAGAGAGTAATCGTTTGGCCTGAGTTTCAAAGCCATCTGGAAGGACTCAATGGCTTTGTCATACTCTCTGGACAAGTTGTACAAGACACCAAGTACTATGTGTACATCAGCATCTTCAGGTGACATACGGGAGGCTTCAACGAATAATCTAGCAATCTGCATATCACATAAACAAACTGATGTAACACAAGGAAACCTGAGCTATATCATCTTTAAAGAATTTTGTGGTCATTGATAAATTTCGCCAAAAGGATTGCACCATTGTTCTACACTCAAATGTATTGCATGTGATCTAGATGTGTATTGCATGTGAACTAATAACTATAACCTAGCACATTTGTCAAGTAATCAGATACCTTAATAGTGAGAGAAGTTTGAAACTTATCTAGTTAGTTTCATTTATTTACTGAACTATAGTAAAAACTATCATGTTTATCAGGAGTTCACTACAAAGGTTCCAATTTTAACTTTGAAGGGCAGCAAAGGATCTAATGGACTATAATATATCCAAGGGGGAGGTGGACATTATCTTCACAGCACTACCTATTGCAGAGTCTACAGTCAGCTGAGTGATAAAAGAAGACATTCATACTGCCAAAAAAAAAAAAAAGAATACTTACATCAGCATAATACAAAGAATCAGCAAGCTCTGGAGTGGCCAGTGTTCCATACTTTGGGTGATGACGCAGCCATCCATACAAGTATTTCAATGCAGCTGCCTGTTCCAACTCTGCAATTTTGATACACAACTAAGTTTTTGAATATCATTATTACTAATTCAAGTTATTTTACCATACCACTCTACGTAATTGGTGTATAAACATATATTTGTTCTATAAAGCCATACATAGCTATATGTAACAACAGAATCTCATCAGGGAATTAACATAAAGCATCATGACTAAAGAAAGTATAGGTAAATATAAGCTTATATGCTTTAGGAGCGGTAAATATGCAGAGGAACAATTACCAACCATTTGTATGACTCACGCCAAGAGCAAGAAGCACTTCCAGATTTGTGGGATCAGCTTCCTGTGCACGCATCATTGCAGCAATAGCCTGCACAAGTAGTGGTCATTTATTATGTTCTGCCCCTAAGTAAACTCAGGAACAAAATTCCATTATAACAACCACTGAGACAGCGACCTCTAAATGAACTAACCAAAATAGCAAAGATCAAACTTAAGTAATGGATCCTCATGAAGAAAAACTTAGGTGAGCAGATACCCACCAACCACATCCTAGGTCAAATATATCAGCTGAAGCTAATTTATTGCAAAGGTAAGCAATCTCCAACACCTTGCAAACATTTTCAACAATCTTTAGTGGACTTATTCCATGTTCCATTGGAGAGGCTTTATAGCCACAACTTATTGTTGTAAAGAGACGACCTGTGGGGTGGGACAACGGGAATTGGGAAAAGGCAGATTGTTCTCAATTAAATTCCATCATTCATCTGAACAAGGCATATTAAGTTTCAAAAATCTCACGCTTGAGTTCTTTTTTGTTTTTTTGGCAACATAAAAGGGACATGAACAACTTGACATGAGTAAAATGGCTAAAAAACAATCAATATGGATGATATAGATAGTTGTTTGTCATGCAAAAAATAAACATATCATCCCAAGGAAATAAAAAACTCATGTAAGTTGAATAACCTGTTGATCATCATCATTCTCTGCATGCGCTATTCCAAGTAACCTCCAACCTTCAGAATTGTCAGGGTTTTTCAAAACTTCAGCCTCTAGAGCAAGCACTGCTTCACTCAAAAGCCCTTTGCGGAACAGCTCTTGGCCTTCTTTCAAAGGGTTAGGATGACCAACATAAGGATTCATATCTGAAAAGACATAGACCCCCCTTGAAGCATCTGACCGCTGCTTGGCAGCCACTTGCTCATTTAGGAACCTATAAATTAATACCAGTTGTGATTTCAAGTTACTGTGCTTGGAAATCAAACCATTGAGAAAGATAAAAGTTCCAACTCTGAGACTACATTGTTAGATGAACAATCATTTGAAGTTTGAACCATGTTCATAAGCATAGATCAGAACTCATCAACTCATATAAAGCCTCAGATGACTGATATTCAGTGAGAGGATTAGTTAATGGCTTACCATAATAGGTCAAGAGTTGAAATTTAACTGCTAAGCTCTGATTTGTAAGCTTAAACTTTCAGGTTTAATAGTGTTCCAATATAGTATCAGAGCTAATTCAATCAAAAGGTCTTGTGCACAAATCTTCCCGTTATATTAAATAAAGTTATAATTTCTGTGTTTATTTTAGTGTTTCAAGTTAAAGCATTTTAGAGTTTAAATACTATGGTTGAACTTTAACCTACAAGCTTACGCTTTTGAGTCAAGCCGCAACTCAAAGAAGACATATACTGAAAACAGACCATTAAGCAAATCAAGGAAAATGTGGCAATCAATCTGCACCAATAACTAATTGCCCAAAAGGGATATTAAGCACATATACTGAACTTACTCATCATAAGCGTTTGCCCAACTGTCAGCTGAAGTATCCCCCAAAGCCCCATCCCCAACTTGCTGACCAAATTCTTCCGCCCAGTCATTAACATGCAATTTGGAGAATTCATTGACCCACTGATCTTCAACTGTATCATGCTGCCCTTGTTCCGCAGCAAACTCATTCACCCACCGATTAGCTCCATGGGAAACCTAAAAGCATCCAAAATTAAAAATCAGATTTTTGTTAACAAAAACTAATGATTTATTTATTTCACAGTTTTAAGAGAAAATGAAGCATAATTATCATAAGAAACTCTTCAAAAAATAGATCTGGGTACATCAACATCTGTCAAACTTTGTTTAACCCAAAAATAAAATAAGTATAACCAAACAATGATACGAGATTGTATTCCACTTCATAACTCCTTACTCCAACTTAGAGGTTCCCGTAGTGCAGTTTCAGCACACGAAGCACACCAAATATAAAGCAAGAGGAATATATACAGCAAAACGATTTATAGGTGCATATTCAATGTATCATGCCCATACCATTTAGGAACAAGATGAATGCTAAACAGACAATAGATTCATCACACATACAAATGTGAGCCAGTATATCTTTATTTAGTAGCCAAAATATCAATATAAGAATTTAATAAGAAATGGATGTTTCATGCTTCAACCGATTCTACACTTACATCATTGTGTATAAATTCTTCAGCCCAAGCAGGACCCCCATCATACTGTTGTTGGTATTCAGCCGCCCAATCCCCAGGTGCAGACATTGGAGCTGCTTTGACTTGATTATCATCAATAATAAGTTCACCGCGACTCATCTTTGACATAAATTGAAGAAACCTTGAATTCTGCATGCCCCCAAAAGTATCATAAGTATCTAATATGAGAAGAAAGAAAAATACACACACACACACACACACACACGCATAGGTATATATATGCAAACCATGCACAAGTAGCCCAAAACTCCTTCCTAATTGAGATGTATAAAGTAGAAAGAACAGTCTTGAAACTCCTTTGAAACTGAAAACTAAAGAGATACAAATATTCAAACTATTGTCCCAGAATCCACCATCATTGTCTCCTTTCCCACAAAAACATGATTATTTGTTTCTTGCCATACAACCCAAAGAAGAGCTTAGATTACATATCTCCAAAGAGATTTAACCTTCTTTCCTTCCCGAATTGCAAAAGCATTCTCTATAAGTAAGGAATTAAAAGAACTTGGAATAGCCATTTATATATAGGATTCTTCACAAACTTGAACCCATAATTTTGAAGGCCTAGAACAATGAAGGAAGAGGTGATTAGCAGTCTTTACACTTTCTTTAACACATGACACATCAAGATGGGGAATGTTGAATGATAGTTTCTTCACATCACTTCTTGCATATTCATTTGCTTCGAGTTAAAGCTCATGTAAAGACTTGGACTTTGGAAGGTAATTCAAATTCTTGTATTCAGTTCACAGTACTACTTAACAATTCTTGACTGTTGATCTCAACACAAAGACCCAGCCAAAAAGCCCAGGCCTACATTAACTTTCCCAAATACATATAAGAAAGGTCAGAAGCAAAGATAAAGTCATCATTCATGGAGTGTGGCAATATATGGTTAGGACCTTATGTGACACATCATGTGTTTGGGCCCACCATTTGCATGAAAACATCTTAATGAGATGTCACATCAGCTAGTAGCCCTCCAAAAAAGCGTTGGCAGTCTTAATGTGAATGGAACTAATTTACTATTATAAACTTCTGATAGGTACATTGCTTAGAGGAACATATCCATCACATGACAGTATCATCCACCAGAGCAAAACTAATTACAGACCTCACTTACACCAGACCATGGTAATCAAGTTGGAAACCATTAAAGACAAGCACATCATATGGAAATCTTAAGGCATGATAAAGTCTATAAACCTGAAATTTAGGATCATTATTTTGAGCAAGTGTATGTGCAAGCATACGAGTCTGCTCCATTGCATTTGAGATATTCACACCTCTCGTTTGATCTACTGATGCCAACTGAGATTGTTCCTAGAACCAATTAAGAACAATTAGACAACCAAAAAAAAAAAAAAAAATTGAACCTAAAAGTAAGTCTACCAAGACAATGTCATTAGTTTATCCGAATAAAAAAAAAAAGTTAAAAAAGAGATAGTAAGGCAGTAGTTTATTGATTATGGGGGTGAAAAGGAAAATCAAAGATGCAAGAATAAACTATTAAGTGCCAACAAGTATATTCAATATCTGAAAAGCAACGCCAAAAAATGAAGACACCCAGCAAGATTCATAATACTTATTTTCTAAACAATTGAAGTTTTTATATCATATAATCAATGAGCCTAGTAGCTGGCAACTCGACCATTAACGGATCTAAGCATCAAAAGCTCCAAGATGATTGAGTAACATGTTTAAAAAAATTGATGCCACCTACAACAAGAAAACATAATGTATTATGCAAATTGTAGATGCTAGCTATGATGCTTACTTGCTCAAATTCAGAGGCCCACCCATTCGCACCATGTTGTTGTTCAAATGAGTGAGCCCAAGCATTGGGATCACCATGTGCTGCTCTGTGCTGGCCATACTCAGCAACCCATCCATCGGCAGCATGAGGACCAGGTTTAAGCATACCTTGGGATTCATTCCAATATTCTTCCAGCTCACGAAACCTCCCAGGCAAAGGTCCCTTAGCCCGGGCATCACCGTCAATCTCTAAAGAAGACAATAATGCATTTACCTGGAAAAACAACACAATTTGGACATCCAAATTCAATTAAAAAGAGGCCAACACGATCTTTCAAAATAGAGAGTTCAAAATTACCAAAATCCTCATATTCAACTCAATCAAATATATAGTTCTCAGCAGTTAAGTTAGAAAATCAGGTTGTCCGTCCAAATATAGCCAAAATCTAGCCTCAGTACAGAGAACCACATCAAAAGGAAAGGTATATTGGTGTTAAGAAAATTAATTGAAGGATAATTTAAAAATAAGAAGAGAACCTGAGCATTGATAAAATCTTCACTCTTATCAGCAAAAAAATGGCGAGCCATAATGCTGCTACGATCACGTATGCATTGCTTGTCACCTTCAGATAAACCTAATAGGGGAAGTGAAGTAGGACGGAAAGGAACACCACCACGACTACTCTCAACAAAGGAATGCAGAAAGCTTGATAACACTCTTTGTGGCGGTCCTGCAAAAAGGTAATAGAGCAAGAAACATCGAAAAACAGTTATTATTAAAAAAACTAAATATATTTCCCATTCTCAAAAAATTGCAAAGAAGTGCATACCTTCCAAAGTAGGTTGAAGCTGAGGAGGAGGAAGAGGAAAGTTTTCGAAATGCGGGGGTTGAGATTGATGCTGAATCTCATCCCAAGCATCTGAAAATCCATTATGATTAGCAGAGCGGAAGCCACCAAGAAATTCTGAGACCTGAGACGATACCAACAAGAAGCTCCTAAGTACATAAATAAAAATAAAAATAAAAAAAGAAAATTAGAAGTAGTAATAACATAGAATTATAAAAAGAAGAAACCTGAGCATTAGGTTGCAGAAGTTGGTGGTCAAACTCAGAACCAGGAAGCGCTCTCAAATGGTCACCTGTCTCCGAGTAGAATTGAGAGTCGGAAGTTGTTGGTGTGGCTGTAGGTATCTCTTTTAGCCTCTCCTGTTTATTATGTTTAAATTTACATCAGATTCAATCAAACAACCGTAAATCAGTTTCTTGACCAACAAATTTGGGGATCGATATTATAGCAAAAAAAGGTAAAAATAAATAAATCAACAATTAAATTGAGTTATAAGAAGAAAGAAGACCTGAGTCTTAGAAGAAGTGCCGATAAGAGCGTTGGCGAGAGTACCAAGAGGATTAGAAGAAGAAGAGCCAGGAGCAGGACAAGCAGCTCCACCTGAAACAAGCTCACGCATCGCCATCACTCTTTATCTTGTTATTCTTCTTCTACTTCTACTTCTACTTTAATCATACAAAAGCTAAATAATAATTTTATTTATTAAAATTTATTTTTATGAATTTAATGATATGGTATGATGAAAGCTCGCTCCTTTTTGGTGTTTGCGGGAGAAGACCGAAAAGCTGTTGCCTACCACTGCATTCAATCTTTTATATTTATTTTATAAATAAATCGTTGGCTTCTCTTTTTTCGTGCCACAAGTGATGTCATTTAATAATCGGTTTCATTTTCAGATAAACATAAATACTTATGAATTTGGGCCCACAAGGCCCAGCCCAAACAAAACCCACCCAAATTATATATGAATTCTCTGCGTCGCTCACATTCTCTTTAACAGAGACGAAGAAGAAGAGGGGGAAGAGGAATGGCGTCATCGTCGAGCAGTGGATTAACATTCAAGCTACATCCGCTTGTGATAGTAAACATATCGGACCACTACACAAGAGTAAAATCTCAGATGAATCCTCCTTCCGCTACTTCTAACAACGGTACCCAGCCACGTGTCTACGGATGCGTTATAGGTATTCAAAGAGGACGCACCGTTGAGATCTTCAACAGTTTTGAGCTTCTCTATGATTCTTCCACTCACTCCCTCGACCGTGCTTTCCTCGAGAAGAAGCAAGAGCTTTGTATGTAAAACTTTTTTTTTTTTTTTTAAATTTTATATTTCACTCTTTTTTTCTTTTAGGGTTTATGATTGCGTGTTGTTTAACAGATAAGAAGGTTTTCCCGCACTTCTATATACTTGGATGGTATTCTACAGGAAGTGATGCTGAGGAATCTGATATGCATATTCATAAAGCTGTATGTTAATTTGTGTTTTATTTTATTTTATATTTATGTCAATTATTTAGGTTCATAACTTTCAAATTTGATAATTCCATATTTAACAGTTAATGGATATCAATGAAAGCCCCGTTTATGTCCTTCTTAATCCTGCCATCAATCATGCCCAAAAAGATCTCCCTGTCACTATCTACGAAAGCGGTAATCATAGCTGTGTCATCATTAAAATTCAAACTTATTATGATTTATATATTTTGCACTTGCTAATTGTTCGATTTCTGTGGGTGTTGATTGTTACAAATACTCAGAGCTACATGTCATAGATGGGATTCCACAGCTTATTTTTGTTCGTTCAAGCTATACTATTGAGGTACAACTCATCCATTTGTCTCTAACACCCATATTCTATGAAATAATAGAGTTACGGTTGAGTGAATTGTTTTCTTGTCTATTTTGAATTTGAAGACAGTAGAAGCTGAAAGGATCTCAGTTGATCATGTTGCACATTTAAAACCCTCTGATGGAGGTTCAGCAGCAACTCAGTGTGAGTGAATTTTTCCCTTGCCTTTTCTAGAAGGATAGAAAGAATTTTGTTCAGCGAGGTTTCTTTTCATTTGTGGTTAATGATAATATATTTTGTGTCTACAGTAGCTGCTCACCTTACTGGCATACATAGTGCTATCAAGATGCTTAATAGCAGAATCAGGGTACTTCATCACTATCTCCTTGCAATGCAGAAAGGTATAGAATTATTTTGTAGCCATGGAGTGCATTTATATTAATGTAAGAGAGGAAACAATCAATGAGCAATGATACAAGAGGGACCAATACTTAAGATATAATTTAACCTCATCTTAAGCTGGGATAATACTTTTGTTTTGGAGAAAGATAGTAGAAAGGGAAGGAAAAATGAATAGAGGGTAGCCAAATTTCTCCTCTTTGATTCAGAGGGAATGATGGGTGGGAGGGAAAATAGGGTTTATCATGCCTCCAAATCCACAAAAAATCAATCTTAAGTTGAATGGGTAGATGAGGTATGGAAATAATAAATCTCATTGAAGGAAGGGAAATATTTATATTATTATTTTTTATCCTACTCAGAAGTTACAAATGTCAGTAGACATCAATGGTTTCAACATGTCAGTATATAATGGTTAAATGACTCTAAATTAACATGTAATGAAAGTCGTCTCTTCCCTATCTGGAACATACTAAACGGTTGAAAGTGGTAATCGTCTTCTTACTGTCCTCTTCATCCTAGCAACCAACAAACAGAAGAAAGGTTGAATGCCCTTTTGTTCTCTACTTTTTCTTTCCCATTCCCTACTATTCTTTCCTTTTTATGAAACATAGTATAAATATGTTTAGAAAAGTGCATATATGCATAATTCCTTTGTAATAGAAATGTGCAACTTTTCTTCTGAAATATGGTAGCCTTCAACAAACCATTAGGTGGATGAGAAAATACCACGGCTCATATCAATTCCATTTTGTATTTAAATACAGGTGATATTCCTTGTGAGAATTCTTTGCTAAGGCAAGTGTCAAGCCTCCTGAGAAGATTGCCAGCCATTGAATCAGAAAAATTCCAAGATGATTTTTTGATGGTGAGTGCAATTTCTTCATTTTTTGGTTTTTGCATAATAGTCTACCTAGAGCACCCTCATAAAGCTGTTAATTACTTCCTGTAAAGGAACAGTTTTGTACCCCTAGTAAGATCATTTTATGAACGATGGAAGAAAACATATAATCAAGAGAACTTTTTATGTTGGCATATAGAATGAATAAAGTGCAGAAAAAACATATATATTATTTTGTTCGTATGGATTCCACTTGCACATCCATCCTGCTGGCTCCCTCGATCAACCTCACCACCTTCTAGGCTCCAATCTCTCTCTATCTATCAACCTTGTTAATCACAGTCAGCACAATACCCCCTGATGTCATGGGTCAAAACAGCTACCATCAAACCCTATATAACCCGACATCATGGCTAATAGCTCTACAGATGAAAGGTTTTAGGTTTAACTTGGTAAAATTGATATAAGATGGTGGTGATGTCAAACAATGACAGCCAACATCAGAATCTTGAAGAAGACATTGGTTGTGAAGACCTGTGGCTTCAGTGAAATGGATAGTAGCAGCTTGGGCTTGATTATATTGTAATGAAAATTAATGTAATTAGAGATGATAAGGTTTTTAATGATGGTAGTAAAGGGTTTCAATGGGTGGCTTCAAGGTAGGTTAAATCCCTTTCATGGAGACATTAGTGGCATGTGCAATTGGCTTCATGAAAGGTGATATACAGCAATTTCTTGTCTGGTATAAACTTTCCTAAAATTGTGTGGATTGTTGTTTCTTCATTTGTTACATAAAATGTTAGAAACTATATGCATTGCTGTCTGTATCTTTTGTTTCTTTTTAAAACAACCATTTACTCTGGATTTTAAACTCATAATACTATGTAAATATGAAATATGATAAAGATGAATATTGTTATCTTATTATTGATGGGTAATGAAGTTCACCTTTTTCTGTTGTAGGAATATAATGATACACTGTTGATTGCTTACTTGGCTATGTTCACCAACTGTGCAAGGTATGATGCTCACCTTTCTCTTCCCTTGTTCTTCTGATGGAAAGAGTTGAGGGTTTAATGTGCATTGTTAAGTATTGTGCTACTGAAAAAGATCACTGGAATTTGGGAGGGTTGAGTTGGCAATGTAGTTTTGCTTACTGTAGTTTGGCTATCTTTTAGATTTGTGTTTCATGGTTGGATGGAACTTGCCACCTTTATTTAATACCAAAATTACTTTGAAAGAATATGTGAACATGGAGCTGGTATGTTTACCTTTTAACTATGTTTGAATGGGTGAACAAAGTGGAGTCTACTGGTAATGGTTTTTTGACAAACATTTATTTCTTTTGCATCCATGCTCTAACTTTGATTATTATTTTTGTGGCAGTACGATGAACGAGTTGGTGGACAAATTCAACACTGCATATGACAGGCACAGTCGTAGGGGTGGACGGACTGCATTTATCTGAAAGCTGCTTGCTCTTGTTTTTGGGGATTTGCTGACTAGTTAATTCCCTCGCTGCAGCTGTTATTTATGAGTGCAGAGCAAATAGAAGCCTAGGAATTATATTGCCGGACCTTAGACAACTCAAAAAAGAAATAGAAACCTAATTATTTTTTTCATTTTTTCCCTTGTTCTGTTCTGGATTTGCATATTGCACTGTTTACTTGTTTTTCTCCTCGAGGTGGAAAGAGTTGGCCCTGCCTGCTGCTTAGTGCGTGGGCTCTTGCATATCCACTTCCTATTTGGCGTATTATAATATGTAATTCTCTGTTTGTAGATAAGATGGAAGCAACATTTCAACACGCAGCTGTGGGGCTCCCAAGAATTTTCTGGGTTTTCACATACGACTGTTACACGACAAATGGGATAACAGTATTCATAGTCATGCATAAAATTTATGGTCCACTATTTTCAAAGAGTAACAGTTACCCTTATAAATTAATGGATGTCTCTTAGTGTGAAATGTCTATAGAGAGCAATATTGATACTTGCTAATCAATTAAGGTTTGTTACTGGTGTGAATGTCACCAAATGATTTTGGGGTGTAGCCCTAGTTACCACCAAGTACATGAATAATGCTGTACAGTTTCACCCCCAAAAACGAGTGTTTCTGCGGACATTATTGATTTTACAGCAACAAGTGACAAGAACGTTGGTTCTCAAACTCGAACCAGTCGGACATGGTCCTAATAAAATATTAAATACTACGCCTAGTAAAGTATACTGATTCAAACCCTTGGTACTTTCGCCTCTCTCATTGGTTAGTCACGGAAATGTGTCTGGAAGTTGTGAAATCAAAACTCCAGTCTCCAGCTCTTTGCAGGCTTTCAAGAGGATCTTCTGAACCTGTTAACACAAATGTGAAGGAAGCAAGCTTGTCAAGAATCAAGATGGATGATTTTTAAGGTCTGTGGAAATGCCATCCATCTTGACATCCCATTTCACAGCCATCCAAGCACAAAGTCAGCGATGGTCGCTCCTCATATATTTCGGTAACATCTCCTTGGCTAGCCAGACAAGTTTGCCCAATACCAAGCCAATGTAATCCTTGAAAAAAAGGCCTCTTAAACCATCTCAATGAATCAGCAGACAAACAAATGCAGTTACACACATCAAGCCTCCTCAGTTTACTCCCATCTTGAAATGTTCTCTTTCTAGCTAATACTTCCATTGAAGAATCAGTCACATAAAAGCAAGACCTAATACACAAATCAATAATCCCTACACAAGCAGCAGCTACTGTCAAAATGGTTTTATCTGATATACCGGCCATGTAACCCAAATCCAGGGCTGTCAACAATTGGCCAATTGCCCCTCCACACAGCAAACGAGAAATTCCTTTGTCAGTTACCCTCTTACAGCCTCTAAGACACAAATTTCTTATGGGCATACTTCCTTGACCAAGAACAGATAAACCAGAATCAGTAACATCAGCTCCTGTGAGATTCAATTCCGTTAAATTATTGAGACATGAAATAGAGCTGAGGCATGAATCGGCTATGCTCTTGCAACCGCCCAGGTCAAGAACCTCTAGGCTCTTAGAAGAGGCTACTTTCTTAACAGTTTCACTAGTTATTAGCTGGCATGACAACAGTCTCACCTCAACAAGGGCACATGGAATGTCAGCGAGATCATGAAAGGCCAAGTCTGACAGAAACAAGGCATTTCGGACTTCAAATTTTTTTAAGTTTTGGCAGGCATGTAAAATTGCGGCAAAGCCAGCATCACTAACCTTGGAGAATCCACAAAGTTTCACTGCTTCCAGGCCTTTGCAACCCTCAGATAGAAGAAACATGCCCATATCATTTACTCTTTTGAATGCTCCTTGGTGTCTAAGTCTACTTCGTACAAGAGAGAGGGCTGTCAAATGTTGACAAAAACATAGGGATTGAAGCCCATTGTTGGTCAAGTCATCGTCTGGCATTGGTTCCTTGTTTGGTCTGTCTTCAAGATCCAACTCTACCAAAAGAGGAACAGAGTTGGTGATAGTTAAAAGTAGTTGATCAGTTATTATATCTAAAACCAGTGACAAGCTCTGCAGTTTGCAAAAAGGAGAGGTAGGGATGCTTAGAATTTCTGTTTCCATAAGGTTTCTACCAACTGTCCTTATGATTCGGATTGCGTCTTGCTCAAGCACTGGCTGCAACTTTAGCATTTTGACAGTACTGGGAAGCAAAAATTCTATGGACCCAAAAGAATTTGCATCAACTGCAGGCCCTCGAATTTTCAATGACAGAGACTAATAATAGAAAGGAAACTTGCTTCAGTTTCTAGGTTAGAGCATGTTTCAACTCACAAACATAATTTGGCATTAGCTGTAAACTCATTCGGAAAAAAAAAAAAAAAAAAAATGAACTTTGAAAGAATTGATAACTCGAATTGAAGAAAAATTGAACGGTAACAATAACTTACTTCCAAGTACAAGCACCGCTTAAGCATCAAGGCAAGTTTACTTCTGAATACATCAGGTAAGTTCTTGTCTGCCAATTCTAATATAAGCAACCTGACAACAGAACTAATAAATTTGTTCATTGCAGCATAATGCTTTAGGTAAATAAAACTCAAATAAATTGAAACACCGTGAAGTTAAAGGGTGATAAATAAGATATGTAAAAAAATAGAAGCACATCAAATTGCCTAATCCCTTTCTTGAAAAATCCTGTTCTTGTTAAGCCACTAGCAAAAACATATGTAGGAAAGCTAGAAAAGGAAAAAACTAACAGACATCTGGAGAATTAGCTATGTAGCTACCACTCACAGAATCGAAAAGAGAAGAACGTATATATATATATATATATATATATGAGAATAATAAAATTTAAGATTTGTACCTAAGATTAGGACAGCGATGGGCAATGTAAGTAAGAAACTGGTATGACAAAGAGGAGCAGCACCACAAATTCAATTCTTGGATAGTTGGACAAAGGAAAGCAGAGAGTGGGTGGTCTTGGAGACGGAGGCAGTTGAGAGTAAGAGAGTTTAGACCTTTACAACGACCCAGAATTATTTCCAGAGTCTGCCCATCAGGAGACATGGTCTGCAATGCAAATAACTTGTATTAGAACAATCCCCAATATAAAAGAATAAAAAATAAAGTATTGTAGGAATTGGAACAAGGAACTTACAGAGAAATGGAGAGAAGTCAGAGAAGGAAGAGCTTGAGAGTAAACCAATAAGCGAAAGGATCTATTGAGACAAGCAAGCGAGGATAAAGTCTGCAAATCCAGCCTCCCAAGTATCTCTTCATTCAACACCGTGCTCGGCACCCTCTCCATCTTCTTCTTCTGCTATTCTGCTTTATATTTATTTTGTTCGACTTTTTATGCCTTTTTGTCGGTCCAACATACTAAGTTATAAATTAGAGACTGAAAAGTAATTTACAATCTAAATTTTACTGATAGTCCGTCATTACATGGAAAAAAATTTTGGTCTTATGATGTATGCACATGCAGTTAATTATGGGGTATTTGGTAATTAACATGTATTTATATGAGATCCAATGTTAATGATGAACTAAACAGAAAACGTTTAAAATGGAGGACGATGAGAGATATAAAATAATCCAGGGCGTTGCATCAGCGAAGCTGAAACATGTACACTATTTTCAAAGAGTACATTTACCTTATAAATTAATGGATGTCTCTTAGTGTGAAATGTCTATAGAGAGCAATATTGATACTTGCTAATCATTAAGGTTGTTATTAGGTGAATGTCACAAATGATTTTGGGTGTAGCCCTAGTTACCACCAAGTACATGAATAATGCTGTACAGTTTCACCCCCAAAAAGGGTGTTTCTGCGGACATTATTGATTTTACAGCAACAAGTGACAAGAACGTTTGGTTCTCAAACTCACCAGTCGGACATGGTCCTAATAAAATTTAATACTAGCCATAAAGTATACTGATTCAAACCCTGGTACTTTCGCCTCTCTCATGGTTAGTCCCGGAAATGTGTCTGGAAGTTGTGAAATCAAAACTCCAGTCTCCAGCTCTTTGAGGCTTTCAAGAGGTCTTCTGAACCTGTTAACAATGTGAAGGAAGCAGCTTGTCAAGAATCAAGATGTGATTTTTAAGGTCTGTGGAAATGCCATCCATCTTGACATCCCATTTCACAGCCATCCAAGCACAAAGTCAGCATGGTCGCTCCTCATATATTTCGGTAACATCTCCTTGGCTAGCCAGACAAGTTTGCCCAATACCAAGCCAATGTAATCCTTGAAACAAAGGCCTCTTAAACCATCTCAATGAATCAGCAGACAAACTCCAAATCCACAAAAAATCAATCTTAAGTTGAATGGGTAGATGAGGTATGGAAATAATAAATCTCATTGAAGGAAGGGAAATATTTATATTATTATTTTTTATCCTACTCAAAAGTTACAAATATCAGTAGACATCAATGGTTTCAACATGTCAGTATATAATGGTCAAATGACTCTAAATTAACATGTAATGAAAGTCGTCTCTTCCCTATCTGGAACATACTAAACGGTTGAAAGTGGTAATCGTCTTCTTACTGTCCTCTTCATCCTAGCAACCAACAAACGGAAGAAAGGTTGAATGCCCTTTTGTTCTCTACCTTTTATTTCCCATTCCCTACTATTCTTTCCTTTTTATGAAACATAGTATAAATATGTTTAGAAAAGTGCATATATGCATAATTCCTTTGTAATAGAAATGTGCAACTTTTCTTCTCAAATATGGTAGCCTTCAACAAACCATTAGGTGGATGAGAAAATACCACGGCTCATATCAATTCCATTTTGTGTTTAAATACAGGTGATATTCCTTGTGAGAATTCTTTGCTAAGGCAAGTGTCAAGCCTCCTGAGAAGATTGCCAGCCATTGAATCAGAAAAATTCCAAGATGATTTTTTGATGGTGAGTGCAATTTCTTCATTTTTTGGTTTTTGCATAATAGTCTACCTAGAGCACCCTCATAAAGCTGTTAATTACTTCCTGTAAAGGAACAGTTTTGTACCCCTAGTAAGATCATTTTATGAACGATGGAAGAAAACATATAATCAAGAGAACTTTTTATGTTGGCATATAGAATGAATAAAGTGCAGAAAAAACATATATATTATTTTGTTCGTATGGATTCCACTTGCACATCCATCCTGCTGGCTCCCTCGATCAACCTCACCACCTTCTAGGCTCCAATCTCTCTCTATCTATCAACCTTGTTAATCACAGTCAGCACAATACCCCCTGATGTCATGGGTCAAAACAGCTACCATCAAACCCTATATAACCCGACATCATGGCTAATAGCTCTACAGATGAAAGGTTTTAGGTTTAACTTGGTAAAATTGATATAAGATGGTGGTGATGTCAAACAATGACAGCCAACATCAGAATCTTGAAGAAGACATTGGTTGTGAAGACCTGTGGCTTCAGTGAAATGGATAGTAGCAGCTTGGGCTTGATTATATTGTAATGAAAATTAATGTAATTAGAGATGATAAGGTTTTTAATGATGGTAGTAAAGGGTTTCAATGGGTGGCTTCAAGGTAGGTTAAATCCCTTTCATGGAGACATTAGTGGCATGTGCAATTGGCTTCATGAAAGGTGATATACAGCAATTTCTTGTCTGGTATAAACTTTCCTAAAATTGTGTGGATTGTTGTTTCTTCATTTGTTACATAAAATGTTAGAAACTATATGCATTGCTGTCTGTATCTTTTGTTTCTTTTTAAAACAACCATTTACTCTGGATTTTAAACTCATAATACTATGTAAATATGAAATATGATAAAGATGAATATTGTTATCTTATTATTGATGGGTAATGAAGTTCACCTTTTTCTGTTGTAGGAATATAATGATACACTGTTGATTGCTTACTTGGCTATGTTCACCAACTGTGCAAGGTATGATGCTCACCTTTCTCTTCCCTTGTTCTTCTGATGGAAAGAGTTGAGGGTTTAATGTGCATTGTTAAGTATTGTGCTACTGAAAAAGATCACTGGAATTTGGGAGGGTTGAGTTGGCAATGTAGTTTTGCTTACTGTAGTTTGGCTATCTTTTAGATTTGTGTTTCATGGTTGGATGGAACTTGCCACCTTTATTTAATACCAAAATTACTTTGAAAGAATATGTGAACATGGAGCTGGTATGTTTACCTTTTAACTATGTTTGAATGGGTGAACAAAGTGGAGTCTACTGGTAATGGTTTTTTGACAAACATTTATTTCTTTTGCATCCATGCTCTAACTTTGATTATTATTTTTGTGGCAGTACGATGAACGAGTTGGTGGACAAATTCAACACTGCATATGACAGGCACAGTCGTAGGGGTGGACGGACTGCATTTATCTGAAAGCTGCTTGCTCTTGTTTTTGGGGATTTGCTGACTAGTTAATTCCCTCGCTGCAGCTGTTATTTATGAGTGCAGAGCAAATAGAAGCCTAGGAATTATATTGCCGGACCTTAGACAACTCAAAAAAGAAATAGAAACCTAATTATTTTTTTCATTTTTTCCCTTGTTCTGTTCTGGATTTGCATATTGCACTGTTTACTTGTTTTTCTCCTCGAGGTGGAAAGAGTTGGCCCTGCCTGCTGCTTAGTGCGTGGGCTCTTGCATATCCACTTCCTATTTGGCGTATTATAATATGTAATTCTCTGTTTGTAGATAAGATGGAAGCAACATTTCAACACGCAGCTGTGGGGCTCCCAAGAGTTTTCTGGGTTTTCACATACGACTGTTACACGACAAATGGGATAACAGTATTCATAGTCATGCATAAAATTTATGGTCCACTATTTTCAAAGAGTGACATTTACCCTTATAAATTAATGGATGTCTCTTAGTGTGAAATGTCTATAGAGAGCAATATTGATACTTGCTAATCAATTAAGGTTTGTTACTGGTGTGAATGTCACCAAATGATTTTGGGGTGTAGCCCTAGTTACCACCAAGTACATGAATAATGCTGTACAGTTTCACCCCCAAAAACGAGTGTTTCTGCGGACATTATTGATTTTACAGCAACAAGTGACAAGAACGTTGGTTCTCAAACTCCAACCAGTCGGACATGGTCCTAATAAATATTTAATACTAGGCCTAATAAAGTATACTGATTCAAACCCGCGGTACTTTCGCCTCTCTCATTGGTTAGTCACGGAAATGTGTCTGGAAGTTGTGAAATCAAAACTCCAGTCTCCAGCTCTTTGCAGGCTTTCAAGAGGATCTTCTGAACCTGTTAACACAAATGTGAAGGAAGCAAGCTTGTCAAGAATCAAGATGGATGATTTTTAAGGTCTGTGGAAATGCCATCCATCTTGACATCCCATTTCACAGCCATCCAAGCACAAAGTCAGCCATGGTCGCTCCTCATATATTTCGGTAACATCTCCTTGGCTAGCCAGACAAGTTTGCCCAATACCAAGCCAATGTAATCCTTGAAACAAAGGCCTCTTAAACCATCTCAATGAATCAGCAGACAAACAAATGCAGTTACACACATCAAGCCTCCTCAGTTGTTTACTCCCATCTTGAAATGTTCTCTTTCTAGCTAATACTTCCATTGAAGAATCAGTCACATAAAAGCAAGACCTAATACACAAAGAAATAATCCCTACACAAGCAGCAGCTACTGTCAAAATGGTTTTATCTGATATACCGGCCATGTAACCCAAATCCAGGGCTGTCAACAATTGGCCAATTGCCCCTCCACACAGCAAACGAGAAATTCCTTTGTCAGTTACCCTCTTACAGCCTCTAAGACACAAATTTCTTATGGGCATACTTCCTTGACCAAGAACAGATAAACCAGAATCAGTAACATCAGCTCCTGTGAGATTCAATTCCGTTAAATTATTGAGACATGAAATAGAGCTGAGGCATGAATCGGCTATGCTCTTGCAACCGCCCAGGTCAAGAACCTCTAGGCTCTTAGAAGAGGCTACTTTCTTAACAGTTTCACTAGTTATTAGCTGGCATGACAACAGTCTCACCTCAACAAGGGCACATGGAATGTCAGCGAGATCATGAAAGGCCAAGTCTGACAGAAACAAGGCATTTCGGACTTCAAATTTTTTTAAGTTTTGGCAGGCATGTAAAATTGCAGCAAAGCCAGCATCACTAACCTTGGAGAATCCACAAAGTTTCACTGCTTCCAGGCCTTTGCAACCCTCAGATAGAAGAAACATGCCCATATCATTTACTCTTTTGAATGCTCCTTGGTGTCTAAGTCTACTTCGTACAAGAGAGAGGGCTGTCAAATGTTGACAAAAACATAGGGATTGAAGCCCATTGTTGGTCAAGTCATAGTCTGGCATTGGTTCCTTGTTTGGTCTGTCTTCAAGATCCAACTCTACCAAAAGAGGAACAGAGTTGGTGATAGTTAAAAGTAGTTGATCAGTTATTATATCTAAAACCAGTGACAAGCTCTGCAGTTTGCAAAAAGGAGAGGTAGGGATGCTTAGAATTTCTGTTTCCATAAGGTTTCTACCAACTGTCCTTATGATTCGGATTGCGTCTTGCTCAAGCACTGGCTGCAACTTTAGCATTTTGACAGTACTGGGAAGCAAAAATTCTATGGACCCAAAAGAATTTGCATCAACTGCAGGCCCTCGAATTTTCAATGACAGAGACTAATAATAGAAAGGAAACTTGCTTCAGTTTCTAGGTTAGAGCATGTTTCAACTCACAAACATAATTTGGCATTAGCTGTAAACTCATTCGGAAAAAAAAAAAAAAAAAAAATGAACTTTGAAAGAATTGATAACTCGAATTGAAGAAAAATTGAACGGTAACAATAACTTACTTCCAAGTACAAGCACCGCTTAAGCATCAAGGCAAGTTTACTTCTGAATACATCAGGTAAGTTCTTGTCTGCCAATTCTAATATAAGCAACCTGACAACAGAACTAATAAATTTGTTCATTGCAGCATAATGCTTTAGGTAAATAAAACTCAAATAAATTGAAACACCGTGAAGTTAAAGGGTGATAAATAAGATATGTAAAAAAATAGAAGCACATCAAATTGCCTAATCCCTTTCTTGAAAAATCCTGTTCTTGTTAAGCCACTAGCAAAAACATATGTAGGAAAGCTAGAAAAGGAAAAAACTAACAGACATCTGGAGAATTAGCTATGTAGCTACCACTCACAGAATCGAAAAGAGAAGAACGTATATATATATATATATATATATATGAGAATAATAAAATTTAAGATTTGTACCTAAGATTAGGACAGCGATGGGCAATGTAAGTAAGAAACTGGTATGACAAAGAGGAGCAGCACCACAAATTCAATTCTTGGATAGTTGGACAAAGGAAAGCAGAGAGTGGGTGGTCTTGGAGACGGAGGCAGTTGAGAGTAAGAGAGTTTAGACCTTTACAACGACCCAGAATTATTTCCAGAGTCTGCCCATCAGGAGACATGGTCTGCAATGCAAATAACTTGTATTAGAACAATCCCCAATATAAAAGAATAAAAAATAAAGTATTGTAGGAATTGGAACAAGGAACTTACAGAGAAATGGAGAGAAGTCAGAGAAGGAAGAGCTTGAGAGTAAACCAATAAGCGAAAGGATCTATTGAGACAAGCAAGCGAGGATAAAGTCTGCAAATCCAGCCTCCGAAGTATCTCTTCATTCAACACCGTGCTCGGCACCCTCTCCATCTTCTTCTTCTGATATTCTGCTTTATATTTATTTGGTTCGACTTTTTATGCCTCTTTGTCGGTTCAACATACTAAGTTATATATTAGAGACTGAAAAGTAATTTACAATCTAAATTTTACTGATAGTCTTGTCATTACATGGAAAAAAAAATTGGTCTTATGATGTATGCACATGCAGTTAATTATGGGGTATTTGGCAATTAACATGTATTTATATGAGATCCAATGTTAATCATGAACTAAACAAAAACCGTTTGAAATGGAGGATGATGAGAGATACAAAATAATCCAGGGCGTTGCATCAGCGAAGCTGAAACATGTAGATACCCAGACGGCCGTCTGGCCAAAGCCGTAGATCTTGTTGAAAACAACCAAAATAGATTTGACCTCCAACCATTTTTTACCAGATCTATAGTGATCTAGTTGTTTCTAGCCAAAGATTATGTCGAATACAATCAGATTTGTGCACAATCAACCAAATCCGATTGTTCGTGCATTGTTCTGACGCTAGTGATCAACAATGGTGGTTAAATTGCCAGCACTCTTGAGTAATTTTTTTAAAGTCTAAAAGTATTTATGTCCTAAAAATTTTGTATATAAAGATAAAATCCATTAGTATTTTATAAATTATTTTTAAAACAATGACATTATTGTCCTAAAATTTTTATTAATAAAAGGTAAAATTATAACAAAATTAAGTAATCTTAAAATACCTAAAAAAATAAAGATAATCATATTACCTCTTATATTACCAACAATAAAAACTATTAGTTTTAAAAGATTACCGGAATCTTATATTACTTAAAATCAAGTAATATAAAATGGTATTATCTAAGTAAAGAAGGATTATCTCCTACAAAACACACCCTTAATTCCATTTCAAAGGCAATCTGTAGTGATTAGGGAGCTATAAACATTATTCTAAGCAGTCAAAACATAACCGGAATGATATAATAAACTTATGCCATGCTGTTTAGGCTTCTATTTGTCAGTCTCTGCGTTTTTGTAATACACAAAACTTTTTAAGAGGTCAGGCAAAAAATATATTACTTCTTTGGTATTTGTTCTGCTTCCATAACTATCTTTCTTTGATTTAGTTATCCTCATTTGGTCTGAAAAAAACCAGCATCTCCATAAAAAAACCAGAAGAGTAAATGAAGGCAATGTTACGAACAAAACAAGACCAGAATATGGTGTAACTTTATCACAACTTTATGTCAACTGTTTCCCCTTTACCAGCACAATAACTTTATTAGACATGAATCAATATCCCTTGAATAGGCAAAAGCACAAACAATGCCCAAATGGGAAAAAAGTTTTTTTAATCTGTTTCAAATGCTTGTTTAGATGCTCAGCTCCCCTTTGGAGACAAGAACGCCATCACTATCAGCATACAACCACTCCCCATCACAAATGAACGCTCCAGTGATATACACAGGGACGTGCTTTTCACCATGGCCTTTTTTGTTCGATTTAATAGGATTCGATCCCAAGGCCCTCACCCCAATACCACAGTCATTAATCTCATCCACATCTCTAATGCACCCGTTCACTACAATACCAGCCCATCCGTTGTTATGTGCCAATTGTGCCAAATTCCCACCCACCAAAGCACACCTCATGCTTCCTCCGCCATCTATAACTAAAACCTTTCCTTCACCTCTGCTTTCAATAAGCTCCCTAACCAAAACATTGTCCTCAAATACCTTTACAGTGACAATGGGACCAGAGAATGATCGACATTGACCATAGATATGGAAGATTGGTTGCAAAACACGCAAGTCACCACTTGCCAGAATTGCTGCATTCGAATCACAAACTTCAGCAGTTGCTAAAGAAGCCATATTTTTTCCTGCAATAAAAATGCCCCATAAAAATGTGAAACTATAATAACTATAAAAGAAGAAATCCATCCATATCTAGTGATGGGTTTCAAACTTGATGTCCCTCAAGGACCTCAACTTTTATCTAGCCGGTTTGGTTTTAGGCTAATATATCCATCAACATAAATAAAACAAGAGTATGTAAAACCAAAAAATAATAAAGAACACAAGAAAATATATTGGTGTTATCCATAGTTGGGAAAAAAACCACGGGCATTTTAAACTTCTTAAGTATGTTTTTAATAAAGATAAACACACGAGCAAAGGAAGTAACTTTTTGAAACCTAACATGCCTCATCTCCTCCCTCCTTTAACAATCACCTATGCTTCTCTCACTCTCCAGTAATTCAAAGGCTAGTAAAGTCTGAACTTTATTCTGTCACAATAATTACTAAAAAGAAAAAATAAGCTCTGGTTGTCACAGCAGTTTTGCAAGTTGAAACTTGTCCAGAAAATATAAATATTTATGATGTAATGAACAAGAAATCTGTTAGTCTGCATGTACCTCTAGCAAACTATCGATGTTGACCTTCAAATGTATATTATGAAGGGATCATTCCTATGTGCATGTGCATCTGTATTGTGACCTTTTGCTACAAGAAAGCTAAGCATAGACCTATGCTTTTCCACCATACTCTTCACCACAAAACTAAATCATAAGGTTGTAACATTGCTTGTAGTAAAGATAATGAGGATCCAGCATAACACCATGTGCAAATGATATGAACAAAACAAGTGATTCTACCAGCTTGGATCTCAGTGGTGAAGACAAAGAACATAACTTATCCTGATACAGATATATAACATGCACATGCCCAAAATTAAGAAAAGAAAACGAACAATGTGTTTACCCTTAAAATACTCCCACCACAATGGACAGAAAGGATGATGCCATGTACGCCAGTAATTTAAGTGATTGTAAGATAATAATTGATCAGGTGACCTAGGAAACAGGCCAGATGGCTTTGTAGTTGGCAAATTACAGGGGAGGACAAGTGTTCTAAAATGAAAATAGAATCCTCGCCGGATTGATGGCCAAGGACGGACAGGTAGCATTAATCTTGAGCACATCAATAGCATCTTCCTACTTCCCATGAAATCCATAACAATCAACCACCTAAAAGACAAATCAAATGAAGTACATAACATATTTGCAGCTGGGACATTGAGTGCATGCCTGGGACAAAGAGATCAAACGCCTTATATAGATGCAAAAAAAGCACCAATGAGACATAGTAGCCTACACTCCAAAACATGAACATTTCCATAAGCCAATTGCTGGAAGAAGGCCTGTATATGGTGGCCACACCATTGAGGAAAGGGTCTATCAACAATTTCACACATACATTACATTGATTATACTTTGGTTCAACAACAATCACAATCAAATTACTTGGGCACTATCCTTCAATCCTTTAGCTCCATGCTGGCTAATACATCCTCTGGTTCAAGTTTTATGGAAATACGTGCAACCCCGATACTAAAAATCGACAATGGTCAATCCCAACAGATAGATAAAACTGAATACAAGTTCAGGCCCCGATATCAACATGAACCTATTCAAAGTTCAATTAACTACTGAAACCATATATGTTATCAAGTATATAGATAGACGAAAATGAAGGAGCAAGACAACTTTCCGAAACTACAAAAACAAAACATGTAATCCAATTCGCAATTTGTCTTCTTGCTAGCTTGAATCACATAACTAAGCCAAGAATGAACTTGGCTGCTTGGCATGTTTTGAGTACCACAAGAAACAACAGGAACTGAAAAAAAATGTGGTAGGATAAGTTAAGCAACACTACTGCTTTCTCATCTAAGAGCCCTAACCAGAATGACTTGCTAATTTCCAGAGATACTAATATGAGTAGTTGCTAAAATTAGATGCATGACATCATTGCTCTCCTAAAGTTGCACAAAAGCTACATAGACCAAACTAATATTATCCCAGTTTTCTTAGAAATTTTAAAAGAGATAATTTATCTAGTTTGTTGATAGATTTAACAAGAATAAAGGAGGATAAACGTTATTATAATATACGAATAGAGCCATTTGATCATCAACCAAATAAGCCAATCAGCAAATGTAATGCATTAGCAATTTTGATTGAAAATGAACAAACAGGAATAAATAAGACAGAAGGTGACGAAATTCTAACCTTTCAAAGAGAATTCCCAGATAGAAAATGAGGAAACAAAAGCAGAATACAAGAATTGAAGTGAGGTTTACAACTAGCTTCTTTGATAATGAATGAAAAATCAATCCTATATGCTTTAAAGTGAAGTGCAGTTATATTAAAACAGTATTAAATTGTAGCGAAGATGACATCACCACATTCAATATTGGCGGCAGAGAAAGACAAATTATCTCATTGGTTGATGTGCCACAACCAGTAACGTAATCCATCAAATGGTTTTGTTTGTAAAGGTTATCGTTTCAGTTGAGTTGAGTTGAGTTTTAACTGCACTGTGTCTCTTCAGAGAGATTTATGGATTGGAGGCTAAACCCACAGCCCAATGTTGACCCAAGATAAGGTTTGACTTGATATGGGCTGGGCTATTGAATGTAGTTGGCCCATTCTTTATTCATGAAAGATTGATAGAGTGTACGTAGTTCCTATTAGGGTGTCACCATTATAAGAAGTGGGGTTTAATTGAAATTGAAGATTAAGAAAATAAGTGGATTCAGCTTAATAAATGACATTGATAGGACCCTATAACTTAGCACAAGGAGATATATATATATATATATATATATATATATAACTATCTTGAAAATGATGCATGTACAAATATTAGGTTTGATAGGATAAGATTAGATGAAAGTTGTTAAAGCAAGCTCATTCAATCCACAACAAATTATGGAGAGAGTTGCAAATGATGTATAGGAGATATTGTCTTGATTTTAATGAAGATGGGTTATCAATATAAAAATAAAATCATCCATCCTTGTATGTATCATAGGCTACATAAAATCATGCAAAAACAATTAAGATAAGGAGATGTTGATTGATTTTGATTATTCATTAAGTACACTTGTAAAGTTCACTACTTATATAAGATGGTACAACCAAATCACATAGTGATGTAGTAAAATCGTCTAGGTTAAGTTACATGAATAAAACTATCTCTTATAAACCTAATTTTAATTGAACGATGGTGTATATATTGTTGATAAGAGTAGTTATTCTAATGTTGTAATAACATGAGATGAGATTCAAAATTGAAGAGAGGAGAGAGGGAGATATTGGTTTCACCCATAATAATTAGGTGGGTTTAAAATGTGAAAAGCCGTGGATTTTAGTCATAGTATATGGTTTGGTAGGTGTAATAAGAAGGGACCTCACCTCCTAAAAAGAAGGTCGTGGGTGCCAACTGTTTTAATTAGCAATATTAAGTTTCACAATCCCATAATTACAAATCTGATATGATATGTTGATTATATATTATATATCATCTCAAATGTAAGAAAGTAAAATAAGAGTGGCGTGGTTGAGTAGATATGTGGAAGAAATTGTATAAAACGTCTATTTGAAGCTAACCAATCCCAACTAATCTTATGATAAATAAATGTATATAGCTAAGACACGTCTTGGAAATTAAGAGATCTCCATTGACAAATCAAATGCTATTGANTGTGAAAAGCCGTGGATTTTAGTCATAGTATATGGTTTGGTAGGTGTAATAAGAAGGGACCTCACCTCCTAAAAAGAAGGTCGTGGGTGCCCACTGTTTTAATTAGCAATATTAAGTTTCACAATCCCATAATTACAAATCTGATATGATATGTTGATTATATATTATATATCATCTCAAATGTAAGAAAGTAAAATAAGAGTGGCGTGGTTGAGTAGATATGTGGAAGAAATTGTATAAAACGTCTATTTGAAGCTAACCAATCCCAACTAATCTTATGATAAATAAATGTATATAGCTGAGACACGTCTTGGAAATTAAGAGATCTCCATTGACAAATCAAATGCTATTGATTACAAAGTCAAATATTTCGGAACATACGTATCAAATGGGTCAGTCATTTTGAATCCTACAATACAAGCCAAGGTAAACAAGACGCTCGTGTATCAAAAAGAAAATGGCCCCGCCAACTCTTAGTCTTGAGAGAGAAAGTGGATTTCACTTTATTCTATAACATTTTGAAAAACAAAAACCCTATTGTTTAATTTATTTATAAACAAAAAGGAACGGTCCAGAAATCTGCCTGCTTTCTTTGCGAGGATTCCGCTGTTTTCTACTCATTATATATGATATAATACAAAAGGGTTGAGTTGAGAATAGGATACCCTTGTCTAACGGAGGGTTTTTGTTTTTGTTTGTGTTTGTGTTTGAGTTGAGATTCTCTAACGGAGGGTTTTTGTTTGTGTAGAGAGAATAGGATGCCCTCGTGCGTGGGTGATGGATACAGACCCCACTCACCTAATACTTTTTTAATTCATTAAACCATCCAATCACTTCACCACACACACGCTCTCTTATCTTCCTATATCCAAGGATTTTCTTATCATTCTTTCGGTATCCTGATGTAAGAATGAAGCGCATGCTTGTATTATATATACACATAAACATTGACCTCAATAGTTTATGGATTTGTTATCCATACCATTACCATTTATCTACTCTACCTTCCCACTTGTTTTATCAAATCAAATGTTACTCTAACATGCTTCTTCTCAACCAGCATGATCCTTTTTTATCGTAATCTTTATTGCTTATTACCAAGCTATATATAACGTTTATTTCATTCTTTATTCTTATATTGTAATTGGTGAAATGTTTAACAAGATTAGGATCACCTTTTAAGAAAGTTAAAGTAGGCGTTTAAGATGATAATGGGTTCTTTAGGGTTTAAAGTTTATATGGATAACACCATCAAGTCAGTCTTTCATACCAATTATAACAACATGAATCAACATTGTAATTGTTAAGTTATGGTCATATCATAATTTGAGATTGAAGAAACAATAAACAATATTGTAACTTAACCAAAGGGATTTGTCTTCCCTATGGAGTAGGAGACAAAACAAAATAAATAAATTGCATTGAGGAGAAGTTTAAGGTTGAGTTGCCCCTCCGGCACTCCAAACACCCAACAACTACGTTTAAACTAGCATTGGATTATGGATTGGTATATATACTATATATGTTTTGCATACCTAATTAATTTGTAACCATATATATATATATATATATATGCAATGATCCTAAACTTAATCAAATACCTTATATAATCTATATTTGTCTTGTCTTCACTTGTACACAAGTCTAGGCCTAATTTCACCCTTTCACATAATGCTATTTAGTGTCTTGTGCATTTTCAGTTTATGTTGAGATAAAGAGCTACACTTAATTTGTTTTCTAATGAAGACTTATACATATTTTATACAATAAGAAGTCGAGCCATGAGGTTTCATTGAAAAATATATAAAATTCATTTGAAAACCCATGAGGGGATTTTTGTTATATTAGAAAACATCTTTAATTTCATAATAATCCATTATGACTGAAAAATGTTACAAAACCCCCTGGAAGTCAAACAAAGTTCAAGCGTATAGAAGAAGAATAAAGAAAGCGAGGGAGAGACGTAGGTGCGGGGTAATTGATCAAAAAGAAAGAGAGAGAGAGAGAGAAGTTTGACTGGACCCGAAAAATGAGAAAGATAAAAAGAAAAAATTAATGGGGGAGGGGAGCATCACTCCCACAAATTACTCAATCTCTGTTAGTGTTGCCTCCAAGTCCAAGGCACCAACTTGTCATCAACTATTCTATTCTCCATTCTTTATTTCTTCTTTTTGTAGTTTTTCACTTTTTCTTGGTCTACTCTTACCATTACTCTCCTCCATTTTTCTTTTCTTTTCTTTTCTTTTTTCTTCACATCTAAATCTTCTCGTTTTCTTCTTCTTCTGGGAACTGGGATTCATTCTTTTGGCAGCTGAGCAGAGCAGCCCAAGAGCTCTGGTTTCTGTTTATAAGAAGAATACGCAGATAGAAGAGTACCCTTTCTTCCTTTGTTGCTTTACTTTTTATGGTTAAATATGTAAATCTTGTTTTTATCGGAGCTAAAATTCCACATATACTACTAAATTTTAACAAGTCCCGACATTTCTGAACATCGTACACTCACTCTGTCTGTCACCTCCAACATATTACAACAGCCATCTCTCTCTCTGATTCTGTACTTCAGTTTCATCAGTTTGAGGTTGCTAAGGTACTCTCTTTTCATTTTTCTTTTCAGTTTTTTATTTTTTATTTTTTATTTTATTTTCAAGCTTCTTTGATTATTACATCTTTGATGGTGATCTACTACACCACCTTATTGCTTTTTATTATTTATATTTCAGCTGTCCAAGAGCAACCCACAAGTCATTTCGGAAAATTTTTGAGAGCAAAAATAGTTTTAGAACAGATCTGAAAGTACATGTGAAGTGAAGAAGAAGCTTGATGGAGATTCAAAGAAAGAGAAGAGAGAGAGACACATTCCATGAATCTTTTGTTTGATGTTATTTTCAGCTCCTCAAATGCGTTAGATAATAGATACCACTGCAAAGAGACTACTCTCTCATTCTCAACCACTTCTATATTAAAAATTCTCATAAGAAAATACAAAAATTTCTTTATGTCAGCTCATTTGGTGATGAATATCTGAGGCCAAACATGAAGAAACAATGGAGGGTATCATTATTTTTGCATCAAGAACAACAACAAGGCCTCATGGGAATCTTTGGCTTTATGTTCTTGCTTCTCTTTCACCTTCAAGTAATGCTATCTTTTGCCAGACAACTATCCACAAGTAATGAAGAAGTGGCGAATTTGATGCTTTTCAAACACTCTGTTGATTCTGATCCAAATGGTTTCTTAGGCAACTGGACTGCCAATTCTGCAAGTCCTTGCTCATGGAAAGGTGTCATCTGCTCTGCTGATGGCCATGTTACCACTCTCAACCTCAACAACTTTGGCCTCATTGGTGGTTTAAACCTTCCAACGCTCACAGCTTTGCCATATCTTATCCATCTATTTCTGCGAGGCAATTCTTTTTCTGCTGGCGATTTATCCACATCCAGTTCTTGCAACTTGGAAACTATTGACTTGTCTTTGAACAACCTTTCAGGCCCTCTTCCACCAAGATCATTTTTTCTCTCTTGTGATCATCTATCTTATGTTAATCTCTCACACAATTCAATCTCTGGGGGTACTCTCCATTTTGGTCCTTCTCTTCTCCAGCTTGACCTCTCTCGCAATAAAATTTCGGAGTCTACTTTCTTGAGTTATAGTCTCTCTAGTTGTCAGAACTTGAATCTGCTCAACTTTTCAGATAATAAGCTTGCTGGTAAACTGAGTGTTACTCCCTTATCCTGCAAGAATCTCTCAACTCTTGACCTTTCATACAATCTTTTGTCAGGAGAGATACAGCCTCGCTTTGTTGCGGAGGCACCAGGATCTCTCAAGTATCTTGATCTCTCTCACAACAATTTCTCTGGCAAATTATCCAATCTTGACTTTGGGCAGTGCAGCAACCTCACTGTGGTCAATCTCTCTCAAAACATCTTCTCAGGGTCTGAATTTCCAACAAGCTTGAAGAACTGTCAGCTTCTGGAAACACTTAACCTCTCTCATAATGCTCTGCAGGACAAGATTCCTGGCTTGTTAGTGGGAAATTTGAAGAAGTTGAAGCATCTATCTTTAGCTCATAACAAGTTTACTGGTGAGATTCCTCCTGAGTTGGGGCAGGTTTGTGGGACTCTTGAGGAGCTGGATCTTTCTTTCAACAAGCTAACTGGTGAACTGCCTTCAACTTTTGTATCGTGCTCTTCTCTGCATAGCCTCAATCTTGGAAACAATCTGCTGTCAGGAGATTTTCTCAGTACAGTTGTGAGTAAGCTTTCGAGTTTGATAAATCTTTATGTACCATTCAACAACATAAGTGGTCCTGTACCTTTGTCTCTAACTCATTGTACTCAACTTCGAGTGCTAGACCTCAGTTCTAATGCCTTAACAGGAACCATCCCATCGGGGTTCTGTTCTTCTCCTAACCTCTCAGCTCTGGAAAGGATAGTTTTACCAAACAATTACCTCTCAGGAACTGTACCCTTGGAGCTTGAAAACTGCAAAAATTTGAAGACAATTGATCTTAGTTTCAACAGCTTACGCGGTGCAATCCCACTAGCCATTTGGACCTTACCAAATCTTTCTGATTTGGTTATGTGGGCAAACAACCTCACAGGTGAAATCCCAGAAGAAATTTGTGCCAATGGGGGAAATTTAGAGACCTTAATTCTCAATAACAATCTCCTGAAGGGAAAAATTCCACAGTCCATTTCTAGGTGCACAAAAATGATTTGGGTATCACTTTCCAGCAACCTTCTTTCTGGAGAAATCCCTGCTGGCATTGGAGATCTTCCTAGCCTTGCGGTCCTCCAATTGGGTAACAATTCGCTCAGTGGACAGATCCCATCAGAGCTTGGTAAGTGCAGGAGCCTCATTTGGCTTGATTTGAACAGCAATGACTTAAGTGGTGCTCTCCCTCCTGCGCTTGCTGACCAAGCTGGCCTAGTCATGCCAGGAATTGTTTCAGGAAAGCAGTTTGCTTTTGTGAGAAATGAGGGAGGGACATCCTGTAGGGGTGCTGGTGGACTAGTCGAATTTGAGGGGATTCGACCAGAGAGGCTGGAAGGCTTTCCTATGGTTCACTCTTGTCCGTCTACTAGAATTTACTCTGGCATGACAGTTGATACGTTCACTAGCAATGGCAGCATGATCTACCTTGATCTCTCCTACAATTCCTTGACGGGAACTATTCCTGAAAGTCTTGGTTCATTAAGCTATTTGCAAGTCTTGAATTTGGGCCACAACAACCTAACGGGTAATATTCCTGACAGTTTTGGAGATTTGAAAGCAATTGGTGTTCTGGATCTCTCTCACAATAATTTTCAAGGACGGATCCCAGGGTCGTTGGGGGGTCTCTCTTTTCTCAGTGACCTTGATGTGTCCAACAACAACTTATCTGGTCCCATCCCTTCTGGAGGTCAGCTGACCACTTTCCCAGCTTCAAGATATGAGAACAATTCTGGCCTCTGTGGGTTACCTTTGTCCCTCTGTGGCTCTGGAAGTCACACTGCACCTTTTCGCTCTGGAGGAAATAAACAGACTCTTGAAGCCGGGGTGATCATTGGAATCACATTCTTTGTCTTGTGCATCCTTGGACTTACATTAGCATTGTATCGAGTGAAGAAGTACCAGCAGAAGGAGGAACAGAGAGAGAAATACATTGAAAGCCTTCCAACTTCAGGTAGCAGTAGCTGGAAACTTTCCAGCGTCCCTGAGCCTCTGAGCATCAATGTTGCTACATTTGAGAAACCTCTGAGGAAGCTCACCTTTGCCCATCTTATGGAAGCTACCAATGGTTTCAGTGCTGATAGTTTGATAGGGACCGGGGGGTTTGGTGAGGTTTACAAAGCACAACTAAGGAATGGCTGTGTTGTTGCAATCAAGAAACTAATTCGTGTCAAAGGTCAGGGAGACAGAGAATTTATGGCAGAAATGGAAACTATTGGAAAGATTAAGCACCGAAACCTGGTTCCTTTGCTGGGTTACTGCAAGATTGGGGAGGAAAGGCTTCTTGTGTATGAGTACATGAAATGGGGGAGTCTGGAGTCCGTCCTTCACGACAGGGCCAGAGAAGGCAGCACAAGGCTTGACTGGGCTGCTAGAAAGAAGATTGCCATAGGGTCAGCACGAGGCCTTGCATTCCTTCACCATAGCTGCTTGCCTCACATTATTCACCGGGACATGAAGTCTAGCAATGTTCTTCTAGATGAAAATTTTGAGGCCAGGGTTTCTGATTTTGGTATGGCAAGATTGGTGAATGCTCTTGACACTCATCTCAGTGTGAGCACCCTTACAGGAACTCCAGGCTATGTTCCTCCTGAGTACTACCAGAGTTTCCGTTGCACAACAAAAGGTGATGTCTACAGTTATGGTGTCATATTACTAGAGCTTCTTTCAGGCAAAAGACCTACAGACCCATCTCAGTTTGGTGATGACAACAACCTAGTTGGATGGGCAAAGCAGCTTCATAGAGAAAAGAGAAGCAATGAGATACTGGATCCCGAGCTGATGACACAGAAACCTGGTGAGGCTGAACTATTCCAGTGTCTGAGGATTGCCTTTGAGTGCCTAGATGACAGGCCACACAGGCGACCAACCATGATACAGGTAATGGCAATGTTCAAAGAGCTTCAGGTTGACACAGAAAGTGATAGCCTTGATGGTTTCTCATTGAAAGACACGGTTATTGAAGAGTTGCGTGAGAAAGAACCTTAGTTCATGCCATCCAAATTCAGTTGGACTTAAAACGGTTTTGCTCTTGCCTTGCTACACATGGCCAGGCTAAGGGGCTATGCAGATGAAGTATCAGTGAGTTGGACCTCTGATATAGAGATGAGGTTTACCCTCCCCATTTTGCCTAGTGTAAATAATAGAACACTGAATGAGACAGAGAAAACATGAAGGAACAAAGTAATGGGGTCTTTCAGTTTCTGTAAGTTGGGTAACTTTGTTTATTTTGTTTGATCAATATTTCTGTTAGTAAAGACTTCAAGACTTTGTTCCTTTGCCAATCGCTTCTTGTTCCTGTCACAGTTTTGCTAATTGATTTTCTAGTATGTGTTTGCCACAATTGCCTTGTTGTTCATAGAATGCTAGAATGTGAGAAGTGAGAGGAGCATATTTTGTAAAGTTGTAGAATTTAGCATTACTTGAGAAAGTGAAATCGTAATTGTCAACTGATTGATTGCGCAATTGTGAGATTATGTTGATGGTCAAATTCGAAAAAACCTTTTCTTTTTTTTTTTTTTTTTTTTAAAATACAATTGTTTCAGTATCTGCAACCTCCCCCAGACATGGTGGTGAACCATTGAACTGATCTCTAAAATTTTAGATACGTAATCATTGTTGCGTGAGTCAAGAGTTTCTCAGCAGTCTTCATGCCATGAATTTTTCCGACCTTGTTACAGAGGAAAGTAGTAGCTACTATTTTGCATTGATAAGAAGAAATATTATTTATTGACCAGTAAGATGCTGTATTTATTGGCCTTGAAATATCTGACAATATTATGTATCCCACATCAGTTTTAGAAGCTGATTTGATATCTTTGTTTAGTGCCTAACTATTAATTGAAAATTATTAAAGATTTCTGGCAACGCAAGCTACTGCTCTCAAACAATAAACCTAATTCATGCTATGTGGAAAATGGTTTACCTATATAAAGCCATAAATACGGTGACTGAGAGAAATTGTTTTTGTTTCCATGTAATAGTTGTTCACTGAAGTTGCTAGGATGTTTGATCATGGCATTGCTAGGATATGATTAAAGAACTATTGTTTTAATTTGATATATGGTCTGATATGCTTTTTGATGTCAAAGATTTGTTTGGTTTCTCATCATCACCCAACAATTTTGGCTTTAGCTATATAGTCAATCTTTATTCGAAATTTATGTCATCATTTGCATGTTGTTGCATGATGCTCTACAGTATAGTTTGATATGAAATTTTTGTCTGTTTATTCTTTTCCCATGTCACTTTTGGAATATCTTTGGTTTTTTAGTATCTAAATGTTTCTTATCTTTGCTTTATCTAATTTCCAATAGCAAACACTGATGGCACTTTTTGACATAACTCCTGCTATCATTGATAATGATGCATTTGAGAAAAGAAGAGAAAGTAAATGGCGCCTCCACTGAACATTATCTCCTTTAGAATCTAAATTTCAAGCAATTACAGACTACTTATTTTGATGTTTGAAGTTGTAGCTTGATACAACATCAAAATTGCAAAACAGTCTCAGGTGTTTAACATTGATTACAATTACTCTATTGTTGTTGAGAGATTATCCATTCTTTTGTGGTGGATTGATTCAATAGAAGTTTGTATAAGTAGTCTACTTTTTTGATGAGTTAGCCAAAGTTTTTTTTCCAAAGGCTGATATGCTGCTGACATAAGATTCCCAAGTTTGCTTTAATCTCTACAAGGCCATAGCCATATACAGGTCCGAACTCCACTAAAATGGGCTGAAATTTCAAGCCCATCCAACAAAGGCAGGGTGGGGCCTCTCTGGCTGCAGCAGTATCTGAGTAGACATGAAATTCAGTTTTAAATACTCCAAGAGAGAGGCAAGGACCCATTGACAGGAAATTTGGTTTACTTTAGCAGTGAGTGCTGAATTCTGAAGTTGTTGGTTGGGGTTGGAAGAGTCCAAGATTGGCTTCCAAATCCAAATTTCTGTATGACCCTTTTTGCAGTCCTTTGTCCCCACAACAATTAACACACTTATTTCCTGTGCCCTTACACAGAATTTTGAGACACAGCTTTGAAAAATCATATGCATGCAAGAAATCAGTGTTTTAAATGAAAGATTGTTTATTTATCTTATAACTCAAAACCTCTTTAATGGTAGGGGAGGAGATTTGATTCCATTCAACCAGACTTTAGTTAGAAAAAAATAAGAAAGAAAGAAAGTGGCAAGAGACAAAGACTTGGTCAAAGTATATCTTTTTGACTGGGTGTGGAAAAACTTGCCCCATTCATGAATAAAAGTAATAGCATTAAAAAAATATGTCAGATGAAGAGGAGACTGAAATGCTGTTTGTTAGCTGTTTATGATAATGTACATGCATTAGCATTAGAATTGGCAATTGCTCATTCTCATTCATCCATCCAGTTGGCGCTTTCTCTCTCTGTGTCTGACTGGTGCCAGGTTTTGGCAATTTCTTTTGACACATTCAACTCTAGCTCTTTCTTTCAAGTCATTTCTAATTGCTTCAAAACGCCTGCAATACTTTTTTGTAATGGCAATGCTATTGCTAGCCAGCAATAATGTAATTTTTGCACAAGACATGCAGCTAAAACAAAATCTCAGACAATTGCCACCCATTACGTACAAAAACAAACGATGCATAGTTTTTCGTTTGATTGATCCCATGCATCTGTGTTTATTTATGGATGACCATCACTTGAAACCAAATGGGTCGATAAGTTTGGTTGAATTAATAAGAATGGAATATGTGTAATTGAATGAATTAGAGGGGTATAGCTTTCAAGGATGGGAATATAATAACTTTAGAATTGGATACTCAGAATAAATTAGAGATAACAATTCATTATCAACCAAACCAGTCGTTTTCAAATTGCATGATTAAAAAAATGAGAAAAATAACGTAGCCATCCAAATATTAGGCTTACAATTAATTAAACAAACTTAAATTTTGTCCTCATCAATTTATCATTTTACGTAAGTTAGACCGTCTTAATTCCATAAATATATAATCCCATATTCTATGAATTTAGGTGGTGTTTGTCACTTGTCACCACCATTTCTTTGGGCTTTACAATGTAATTAAATTCCAAAGTATATTTTATATAGTAGTTGATGATTTGATTAATTACCACTCAACAAACAGACACATTACATTTACTCCATCTATTTCTATTATTGATTTGAGAATACCAACTTAATTGGTTTGATTGATTAGATTTAGTGTTAATCATCAATCATACAACACAAAATTACCCAAATTATTAAAAAAAAAAAAAAAAAAAAAACAAATTCTTATTATTATTAGCTTAACAATTCTTAAAGGTGCTAATTAATCCCTAGTACCATTATTTAAATGTAGTGTTAGAAGACGGTTATAACATCTTCACTTTGTAAGGGTCCACGTGTTAGGCTCGACACCCTATTGTTACAGATATTTACCCAATTTAATTCTTATATAAATTGTTTTCTTCTTCTACAACTCACTCTCCTACAATTCTTCTTCACAGGACAATAATACCCCTACTTTTGCCACGTTTAAGGTTTTTTATTCAGAGTCTAGAAAATTACAAAAGCGTGAATTGAATGAATACTGGTACATAACACAGCAATCAAAGGTAAATAAATGTAGGAGAGAGCTTTTCCACTCTTTAATTCTTCAAAGATTCCATTTTTTACACATAATTTTAATATATTTTAATTTTAATGGGTTTCTATTCTATTTCTGCTTGTACCTTTCTCTAATTAAAACATCATCATATCATTTCATTTTCTTTGTACAAATCAAAACCACAGAGAAAAAGATTGCATTTTGATTCCATTTCTCCACTTTGTATAGCAATATCTGAGTTGGGTCGGGTCGGATTTCTGTGGTTCATGCTATATTGATGGTGGTGGTGGTGGTGGTGGGTCTTCTTCATTTAGCTTTGACTCTTTAATCAATCAGGTAATCATTTTTAATCATTCTCACTTTCTCTTTCTCTCTCTTTGCTTTTCTAACTCTCAATTTATGCAAATTTAGGGTACCACTTTCATATATGATCTATGTAGGTTCTCTTTCAATTTTTGTAATCTGGGTTGATTTTATTTTTCTCTATGTCAATTTGCTTATCATTGGATCTTGATTGATGGGTACCAGACTCTAATAACTGGGTTTCTATATTTGTAAGGTTCAATGGATTTACGTGATTCGTTCTTCAACACAACACAACACAACTTTATCAAATTTGGAATGTTGTCAATTATCTCATCTATATAGATTCTTAGTGTTGCTACCTTTTCTTACCCCTTAAAGGATTGTGTTTCTGGGTTTTGTCCTAGGCTTAATCTTGAGTTGAGTTGAGTCTTATTCTTCTTCTTTTCTGGGAACTTAGCCTGAACAATTACTGAGTTTAGCTAAGGTATATAAGAGATAGTTATTATTATATTAATGACTCATGGAGTGTTGTTTTAGATATATTAAATGTGTTTTCTTTCATGCATTCCAGTATGTTAATGCAATTTGGTGATGATTTGCTTTGTCCATGTAGTGATTCATCTAGTAATTTCTAGTCAAGATTGTAGTTTTATCTTCTGACCTTCTTTTGGTTTCTGAGAAGAAGTGAGCAAAAGCAAAACCCAAAATAAAAGTTCTCCATTTTATGTTGTTTTTTCTGTTTTACTTCCACTATGGAAAACCCACCTTGACTAAATAGTTGTAGGTTTTTCATTGAGTTGGATAGAAAATTTGTTTTGACATAATCCGAGTCTTAAGACTCTTTTTCCTTTCTTGCCTGTCGTTCTAAATGGGTTGGTTTCTATTTAATTCCATAATATGTTGCATGTGAATGAACTTTCAGGAATTCGACCTGTGCAAGACCTTGATTCTATGCTGACCTGACTTTGACGCCAACTCTGAAAAATATTCATGGCTGGAATTGATGATAACATTGCAGTGATTGGAGATTGGGTGCCTCCTAGTCCCAGCACAAGAGCATTTTTCTCGGCAATGTTAGGTGATGATATTGGCTCAAGAGAACCACCTAGCGAAACTAGGGCTGAGGGACTCTTTTTGGGATCGCAAGAGAAGATGACATCAGGAAATACTGACAAAAAGGACGGGATGCAAGTGAGTGTGTCTACTGAATTAGGTCATTTCTCAGAGCAGAAATCAAGCTCACGTGGTAGTCTTGTGGAAAGGATGGCAGCCAGAACTGGCTCAAATGCTCCTAGATTAAATACAGAAAGCATGAGATCATCGGACCTTTCACTGAACCCCGATGTTCGATCTCCTTACTTGACAATATCACCTGGTCTCAGTCCAACAATACTGCTGGATTCTCCAGTTTTCCTTTCAAATGCACTGGTGAGCTTATTTCTTGAAAAACCATACCTTTTGTTTGTTTTTACTCATCTTTGTGAAGGTGGTTAGTTGACACCTTAATTATGTATGAAATATGAGGAAATAGTATCCTCAACAGAAGTTTTTAAAGAACTATATGTCAACTTGGAGCCCAATAAAATTTAGTTTGTGGATCTTTTGCATGTCAAATTAATTTCTTTGCTTATGCTGAGCTATAGGTTGTTTTAGATAATAGCTACACTGATAGGTGATTTTAGTTTTATTGAATTTGTTCTTACTACCCACAAAATACTGAATCCATGCTACCGCAGGCACATCCATCTCCTACAACTGGAAAATTTCCATTTATCCCAAATGGTAATGGTAAAAGTCCATTTATCTCAGAGGCCCCTGATAAAAGTAAAGATAATTTTTTTGAGGACATCAATGCATCGTCGTTTGCGTTTAAGCCTATTGCAGAAGCAGGTTCTTTTTCCCTTGGTGCACCAAACAAGGTAGGAGTTTTAATGAATAATTCTTCATTCTGTATTCTTACTTGCCCTGTATTGTGTGACCACTACTTACAAATTACTTTCACCCTTATTCAGCAATCCTTTCCTAGGATTGAGGTTTCTGTTCAGTCTGAGAATTCCCATCAGTCTCAAAATGTTGAATCAGCTAAGATTCATTCTCGTTATGGGAACAGCCTCAACCTTCAGACAGACTTCTCCAGATCATCTACTGAAAAAGATAATGGGTGTAATACCATCAATGTAGATCAAACAGTCTTTGATACTGTTGGTGGAAGTACAGAGCATTCTCCACCTCTCGACGAGCAACAGGATGAAGAAGGAGATCAAAGAGGCAGTGGAGATTCCATGGTTGCTGGTGCTGGAGGTGCATCATCAGATGATGGATATAATTGGAGAAAATATGGACAAAAGCAAGTGAAAGGCAGTGAGTATCCACGTAGCTATTACAAGTGCACACATCCCAATTGTCAGGTTAAGAAGAAAGTGGAACGGTCTCATGAAGGCCACATAACAGAGATTATATATAAAGGAGCACACAACCACCCAAAGCCTCCCCCCAACCGCCGATTAGCCATTGGATCAAACCCACTTCTTGACATGCAACTAGACATCCCTGAACAGGCTGGAGTACAGAGTGGTGCTGATGGTGATCCTGTATGGGCAAATACACAAAAGGGAACTACTGTTGGAACTCCTGATTGGAGGCAAGACAATGTCGAGGTGACATCTGCAGCAACTGTGGGTCCTGAGTACAACCAATCTACCTCTTTGCAGGCTCAGAATGGGACTCACTTTGAGACTGGTGATGCTGTGGATGCCTCATCTACCTTTTCTAATGATGAAGAAGAAGATGATAGGGGGACACATGGTAGTGTAGGTTATGATGGTGAAGGAGATGAATCTGAGTCAAAGAGAAGGTATGTCTCCATATCTCTGCTATAGTATCTAGAGTGCTACTAGTAAGTTCACTGTGGGAATGTTCTTATGTGGTTTGGTATCCCAGGAAAATTGAAGCTTATGCAACAGAAATGAGTGGAGCCACCAGAGCTATTCGTGAGCCTAGAGTTGTGGTCCAGACAACAAGTGAAGTGGATATCCTTGATGATGGATATCGCTGGCGCAAGTATGGGCAGAAAGTCGTGAAAGGAAATCCAAACCCAAGGTGGTTACTGAAATCATAACCTACTTTTTTTTTTTTTTTTTTTCTCTGTGTCTTTGTCTTTGTGTCTCACATGCACACAAAAAATACACCTTGCACATTCAAAGCAAAACTGTAAACTGGGACATTGAAATTTTGTACAATTTGTTGCTATGTTGATGTAGGAGCTATTACAAGTGCACTAGTGCAGGCTGCACAGTGAGAAAGCATGTGGAGAGGGCATCACATGACCTGAAGTCTGTGATCACCACGTATGAGGGAAAGCACAACCATGATGTACCTGCTGCTCGCAATANAAAGGAAATCCAAACCCAAGGTGGTTACTGAAATCATAACCTACTTTTTTTTTTTTTTTTTCTCTGTGTCTTTGTCTTTGTGTCTCACATGCACACAAAAAATACACCTTGCACATTCAAAGCAAAACTGTAAACTGGGACATTGAAATTTTGTACAATTTGTTGCTATGTTGATGTAGGAGCTATTACAAGTGCACTAGTGCAGGCTGCACAGTGAGAAAGCATGTGGAGAGGGCATCACATGACCTGAAGTCTGTGATCACCACGTATGAGGGAAAGCACAACCATGATGTACCTGCTGCTCGCAATAGCAGTCATGTCAATTCTGGCTCCTCTAATGCTGTTACTGCCCAAGCTGTGGCTGCTGGTCAAGCTCACGTTCATAGGCCCGAACCATCACAAATGCACAATGGCATGGGAAGGTTCGATAGGCCTGCTGCATTCGGTTCTTTCAGAGTACCTGGAAGACAGCATTTGGGACCTTCTTCTGGCTTCTCATTTTCAATGAATCAACCAAGGCTGGCCAATCTAGCTATGGCAGGACTGGGCCCTGGCCAAGCAGAACTGCCTGTTATGCCTGTTCATCCATATTTGGCTCAGCAACGTCAGGTGAATGAAATGGGTTTCATGATGCCAAAAGGAGAACCAAAGGTGGAGCCAATGTCAGAACCTGTTCTAAACTTGTCCAATCGTTCAGCAGTGTACCAACAGCTTATGAGTAGGCTACCTCTTGGACCTCAGATGTAAATGTTTCTGCTTTGTTTTATCGATTATATTCTATTTATATTATTATAACTTTGTTGTTGTTCTGAGGAAAGTAGTAATATTTATAAATCTATACATAACACTCTCAGTTTCATTGGTGATCCAAAATTTTATGTACCAAATTGGTGTTGCAAACAGATGAAGAAAGCATTAATATGGAACACCACATGCTTAGAGCTTGTGGTGGGGGCCCCAACAAGAATGATAGAGATGACAATTCATTGTTTTTTTGTTTTTTTCTAGCTTTGTTTGTTACTTCTTGTTAAACGTCTCTTGTACCGAAGATGCTAGTTCAAGCCTTATGCATCGTTATATCTTATGCCTCTGTATTTGTTAGTATTAGATTATTCAATTCAGCTTGCTTGATTTATTACAAATCAGTCTTCAGTTGTAAATGTTGTCAAACAGATTTGGTCTATCAGTTGAATTTTGTCCTTATAATGGCAACTTGCCCCTTTGCAGCAAAAATTACCAAACTTCTTGAACTGGTAAAATGTCTTCTGCATGAAAGGATACTAATCATTCATGCCTTTTATGTTACAAATGCTGAATGTTGGAGACCTGTCACAACGTTAAATAAATTGCAGTAGTGCTACACTTACAGTAAATTAGATTTTCAAAGTCCAAACTACTGAACTGGATATTTTCTGCTGCCAATGCAATTTGGTATGAGGCAAAGTTTGAAATGACCAGCTAACTAAAAGCGAAAACATTTTCGATGCAATGTCATTGAATATTATAAGTCTATCGTCTGGTTTTCAACCAAGTTAATGTTACCCAACATTTGAAAATAATATCATAAAATTTAATATAAATTTATTTTAAAAAATAGGTTTCATGAGTACACCATAGATGAACCAAAAACAAAAAGATCAAGTTGTAAGTAAATGATACTCCAAAATGTTTTAGTATTAGTATTACCCTTCCCATCTGTCTTTCATACCAATTGAAAGGGAAAGCGAAGAATGATGTAATACACACTTGGAAAAAAAAATTCTCATTTGACCTGTTATCAAATAATTCAATTATAGACCAAAAATAAAACATAAAGATTGGTGGAGGCAAACTAGCATAACTGAAATATGAAAAGCATAAGAACATTTAAAGTCAGTTAAAGCTTAACCTTATTTAATGTGACATTCTTTGTTATTTGAGCAAATGAATGAGTCACCGATACATTTTCTTGCATACAAAATTTGGATTTCAATTCTTAATTAGCCATTTCCTTTTTCACTAAATTGTACAGCTGATATTGAACTGTAATCGAAAAATTACATGTACAAAGGGTATATGCTACATGACGAGCTGAGATATCAGCATAATCCGAAATGAGAAACTGGAGTATGTATATTTTGTTATCAAGGGACTATGGAGATCCACTTCCATAATAAACACAACCAACCACCAAAATCCTCTCTATCAACTTGAGCTTTAAGGTTGGAGTAAAGGTATCCCCACATCAATGGCCATTTGTGATAATCTCGTCAAGATTTTTGTCGTTACTTTGCTGATACGCAGATTTCCTGCGATTTATCTCCTCTCTGCACAACAGAAAATCATTAAACTGTAAGTAATAATTTAATAATATGAAACTTGCCAAAATCATAAATTGCGGTAAGGAACTAAAATTTGAAGCCATGATTGGAAAGGTAGATGACAGTTCGATATAGGACTAATCCATTATCAGAACAACAATAATACCTCACCTAGACATTCATAATTCTATATATGCAAATATGTTCAACAGTAAGACATGCTCCATTGCTAGCTTTTCTAACATGTTCTCTAAGGTTTGTAAGCAATAGATAAACATTTAAGACGTTATGAGAAACCTAAAATAGATAAAATTTTACAAATTGGTGAACACATATAGCCCTTTACTAGACATGAAAAGCAACTTATTCTACTCAATTGACACATCATCTGAAATGTGTAAGTGAAACATCATCATTCCTATGAAGTCAGCTAAAAAGGTAACAGGTTCAAGCAGACAAAACAACAGAACAACCAGCTGTTCAAATTCATCTTGATTATCCAACACGAACTGACTTTTTTGCATAAATCATGATAATTTGTTTATTAGAATATCAAACATATAAACCAATGCTTGATTAGGTCTAACCAAGTAATCCAAATTCCAACTGGCTAACTAAGTGGATCAAACTGGGCCCTTTTAGGATTTTTTCATGAGTCTACACATTTTTCCAGCTCTAAAGCCAACAGGATACATTTCAGAAGCAAAAGAACATGCACCTAAATTATTTCATGAATGTCTCAAATATAGTTGGAACAAACTATGATATCTTACATGAAGCAAGACATATATTGACTTCTAATACAATAAGAATGAAGCAAATGTTTTAGTGTTTGATACCAGAAAGAGACAGACATGAAAAACCAACTAATATAAGAAAGAAAATGATAGAACGAAAACATATGATATAACCATATACTAAAAGACCAGTAAGAACCTTAGAAAGTTCCAAATTGAGTCGTAATGAAGAATGGCAGCAATTCTCCGCTTCCTTCTTCTTTGTGGTTCTCTAGCATGCTTGACTACAGGTAACTGCTTGATCCCCTTAGCCTCCATTAACTCCTTAGCAATTGCCAGATCTGTGTGTGGATAACAGGTTAAAAGTCCACGTGCTCGCCCTCGATAACTTATCCCTCGAGTACAAACCGAGGAAACAAGGCATGTATCCACCTGTAAAAATTTCACTACCATATCATCAACAAAGATGTGGGTAAACAATGAAAGTAGGCGAGCTCTTTCAAAGGATCAATATTTGATCAGCAAGTATTATGGTGCATAAAGTATTATAAACAAAACAAAGTAGTAAAAGTTATGTCATGAGATAGTCTAAGACTGTAGCTCTTAAACAGAGAGAGGGAAGAAACAGTTGTAATAAACTAAATAGAGTTCAGGCTTTCCAATTACATCTGAAGCAGTTGTATCACCCAAGGAAGCATCACTTGACTTCTTGGACAGATAACGTCTAATGTCACCGTACGTCAGTATTCCCTCCAGAAAATCTTCATCGTCAACCACAAGAATGCATTTCTGTTGTCCATCATGCATAAATTTTATTGCTTCTTTCAAGGTTACAGAATGTGAAACCTTTACAAAGTTCTTTGACATAGCCCTAGAAACCTGACAACATCAATGCAAATGTTTAGTCATAAGCAAACACCAAATAATGAAAAGTAACTAGCATGCTAATTAATGAAAAGCTGAAATCATCAAATATCAAAACAATCTTGGCCACTATGATAATCAAGTTGTGAAAGGAGACCAGAAAGTATTTAACCTTCAATTCCTCCAAAAGAGTATCTTCATCTATTGCTTCACAGTTGGCATTTTCTATGACAGAGAGTTCTAAGTCATCTGGGCCATCCATGCGTCTCCAGTTAGCTTCATTTTTATCTTCGATAGGTGAAAGAGAGGAATAACCTCTTGCCAAAGTCCGAGTATCAGATGGTTCACTCTCCTTTTGGTTTGTCACTGAGGGAACCCATATTGCCAATCCAACAGCTCCCTACTTGCAAAATTGATATATATATATATATATATAATTAATCATCAAAAAGTTATAGACCTTTGGATGATGTCAAAAGCACCACAAATTACCACAAATTACAAACTATAACAACACTGTGCCTAATGTCAACAGATTGGGGAAAGTTATGGAGACACAATGTTGCACTTATCTATGCAAAACATAAGAAATGCAATAAGACAGTTTGTCTAATGACAATAGAAAGGGCACAGTATTGTTTTTGTTTTTTGGTCTTGTCTTCAGTCAAGCACTCAAGCTGCCACAAATGTGCAAGGGGGATACGTTGAAGAGTTTCAGGCTTTTATCATTTGGAAGACTTACAGTAAAGGGATTATCAAAATTAAAAATAAATAAATAAATAAATTTGTTATGAACCCAATGAAGAGGATTAAAAAAAATGTGGCATGTCTATTAAAGCCCTCATGAGCAAGGTATTAAACTAAGGAATGTGCTATGCCTTGGGCTTGCTTGTGACTTGTGAGTAGTGTAATTACCAAATTCCAACCAAACCCATCACTGTATTTTACATTATTTATAAAATGTGCCGATAAAAAATTATAATAGATCCACTTCACTACTTTTCAACGAAGTGACTTGTAATTTTTATTGATATAAGACGAGAAAACTTGCTTGGTTGAGATTTCATAATTATATGACTCACAGCCAAAAGCAGATCTAATAAATAGCACATTCCTCAAGGCCAAATGATTATGCCTTGCATAAGAGCTTTAATGGACATGTTACCAGTGTTAATCATCTGTTAGATAGAAATATCAGGTCAGAATGATTAAAAACCCTTTCCAGGGACCAAAAGCCACTAAAGACTTCCTCAACCTGATTTTGTTCAATCAATGCAGCCTTTGAGACTCATTATACAGGCATCAATAAATGCACCTAAATGTTTATCTTTCTAGGTCAAAAGCCTATCAGGTAAAGGACTGTTCCTTTGAAGATTACCAAGTACCAACACATCAAGGTACAAGACTTATCAAGCAAGACAATAGTTCAATTACCATGAGAGGGAGCAATATTCTGTAATCTCTTGTCAGCTCAAATAGTAATAAAACTGACGTCAAGGGTACTGAACAAACAGAAGCTAACGTAGCAGCCATTCCAACCTGCAATAGAAGTTTAAAAGTATACTAATTAGCTAACAAAGACCAACAAGGAGAGAGATAACCAAGATGACAGAATTATGCAACTTTTGGAAAAATGTAATTTTACCAGAGCATAAGCCTGTGGTTGTGCAACAGCAGCATTTCCTGGAATTGCTGAATTAATAACTTGTGCAGCTGAACCTCCAAAGACAGCACCGACAGCAGCACCAATCATCAAACTTGGGGCATAAAGGCCACCCACCAGCCCAGACCCCTTGCACAAAGCTGTGGCCACAACTTTAGCGGCAGCTAATTGAGATAACAACCAGATTCCAGGAGCTGAGGCACTTTTCCCAGTATGAAGGATTTCTTCAACATTTGTGAAACCCCAGTATAGTATTCCAGGATACTTAAGGGCAATTATTCCAGCTCCTAAACCACCTAAAGCAGGGCACACAACAGGAGGAAGGCCAAATTTTTCCTTGATAAAGTCAAAAAACTTAGTGAACCAAGCAACCAAGCGAGTGAAGACCACACTTACAGCACCACATAGCATTCCCAATATCAGGTATAAAGGTAGCTCTGCAAGACAATATTAAAATAACCTTTGAAGTAACAAGAAAGAGAGAATCATTCTGGAAATCTATTAATATCAAGCATATTTATTATTCCTACATTGATGAAAAAAACTTGCAGTAGTATGAGGATTACGAATAAAAGGCCAGCCTTCTATTGGACTCAAATTACAGATGCCACAACACAAGATCGAAAAAATTCTCCAAGTTAACAACAATTCTTTTCAGCATAAAACTAAGATATCCAATACATTATTATTACAAATGCCATGAAGATTCTGCATATAACAATAAATAGAAGAATGATATATATTACCAGCAGCTGATTTCAAATCATATGAGGGCACTGTGAAAGCCGATTGTGTCCCAAGCAAAACCGTTGATATAGTAGATGACACAACAGAGGCCAAAATTATCATAGCAGTCGTAAACGGAGGAGAGTTTTCAGCACGTAGAGGCCTCAGAACAGTCTCAATAGCAAAAAAACAACCCGCAACAGCTGCATTAAAACCTGAAAAAAAAAAAATAATAATAATACCCCAACCACTTTAACAATATGAAGGAAAATACAGAAGTTCGGATAAGACCAACTAAACAGTCAACAATTAAACACCTGAAGCAATCCCAGACGCAGCACCAGCTGCAACAAGAGCTATCCTTCTTTCTCTATTGTTTTCCATCATTAATGAGAAGCCATTAGCACATGACTTTCCAATGTCAACGCTAGGCCCCTCGGGCCCCAAAGAACAACCAGTACCTAATGTTACAGCAGCCTGAATTGCCTTAATTGTTGGGAACACTCCAGCAATCAAATCAAACCCTTGTGCCCTCTCACTTGACTGCTTTATTTGATTCAATATCTCAATCAAACCGTGCATCATTCCAACAATCACCCCGCCAGTAACCGGAATTAACAAAATCCGGTGCCAGGTGTCCGCTAGTCTCTGTAACCGCAGCCAGGCCGCTCCTTCATTGGGCGTTCCAGCCCACGCCCATTCATGAATTACATGAACCTAATCAAACAACCAAATTCAAAAAATAAAACCCAAAAAGGACAACGTTTTCTAAATCAATTCAAAACCCATTTCAAGAATTAAAAAAAAAAAAAAAATGAAACCAAAGCTCACCCCTTTATTGAAAAAAGCGACACAGAGACCGGATGCGAGGCCAAGGAGGCAACCAATGAGAAGCAGAGCCCATTCCGGGGGGGCAGAATCAGCAAGAACATCACGACCGTCCACGTACTGATGATCGAAGGAGGAGGAACGAGAATGAGAACGCAAGGAGAAATAGAATGGGAAGGGTCTTTGAAAGTGAGACGACGGCCGGAGAAGCCACGATCTAAATGTTTAATAAGGTCTTGGAATTTAGTTGAAGTTAAGTGGCAGGAGGTTGATGTGATGTTGATCTGCTGATTCTAAATCTTCCGGATTGATCTAAGCAGAGCCTATCGTCACCTGACATTTTCCGATTTCAATATACTTTTTCTTGAATTACGGTTTATTTGTTAATTTAGTTTCCATTTTCTCAGAAAAAATTTACGCTCCCAAACGTGTCTTCCTCTTTCTCTCTCTCTTATATACAAAAATATGCGTCAGCTCCTCCTCCACTCCACGACCTTGAAGCTTCTTGAAATGACTTTGAAACCCTCAATCTTCTTTTAAACTTCTTCCCATAAAATATCACTATTGTAATTGCTGATTGATTCATGGATATTGGATCGTGTGTAGTGAAAAATGTAAAATTTATGACTTAAATTATTAACTACAAGACATGCGAAGACCCTCATTGGTGGGTTGGTGATGCATACAATGGAGTATACTTAACAAAAGGCCAAGCAACATTGAAATTCTGAAAATGAAATTCTAACCTATAAGGTAACACACAGTCACGCTTACAAGTGTGGAAATTCCACATCTCAAACTCATACACAGGCTTTCTTTTAATCATTTTATGGTGTTTCTAACATGTTACTAATTATATATCAAAAATACAAACACATTTTTTATTGAATTATCTGATCGATCAACGCTAATCTTACGGAGAATATATGATAGCATCTTATCCTACACATGTACCATGTTGAGCGGTTTGGATTATGTAATGATAAAGATTCTCATTAAGGGTGAAAGGCAAATTTAAGACAAAGTAAGAAGATTTGGGTTTAGTATAAAGCTTTTCACTATTTAGTAATAGAAATGTGATGGGGGTGTAGAAGCCATAGCAACATAAATGGAAAAGAAAAAGTTGATTTTAAAAAGTTGACAATTACTTAACAAAAACGTATGTATGAATGAATGTATATATGTTCAACCCAATACAAACAAATCACAGATTACTCATCAAACTTTAACAGAATGTCCGAATTAAATAATATCATTAAAACCCCTAATGATTAATTAATTGTTAGAATAACCTAAACACTAAACAGTATTAAAGGTTTGTAATACCATTCAACGATAGGGGGTGTCTTTGAAATTAAATAATCTTTGGTTGAAACTCTGTTAAATGGTTGGTACTCTTTCCTTGGCAGATAGAAGATTGAAATAAAGGAAGGAAAAAATATCTCTCAATTGAAGGAACAAGAACAGAGACCGCAAAAAAGAAAGGTGTTCTGAAACAGATTAAAGAAGGAAATTGTGTGTACAAACAGCACCTTCTCACTTACACTTAGAACCCACAAGGAAAAAAACGTTGTGTGTACAAACAGCACCTTCTCACTTACACTAGAACCCAAAGGAAAAAAATCATTTTTTTTCCAATTTTTTTTTTTTATTATTTGTTTTGAAAGACACAAAAGAATACCAAACAGAAAGTTGCTGACCAAAAAATGTTGCCTTTACTTTTGTGAAGGAGGAGGATTAGGGTTTTGACATGGAGGTGTTGATCAAGTATTGTGCCTGCTACTGGATCTGAACTTAAAAAGACCTGAGCTGGATCTGTTTATTCTTCAATCAACACAAAGCCACACAATAGACAAAAAGGTTAGATTTCAATTTTTTGTGAGAAAGACAGGCTTCGTTGTGTGTTGTTGCAACTTTTTTAAGACATTAATAAATAAACGTTTCATCATCATAATTTCGTGGACAAATTAGAACAAATTATTTCAGGAAAACCCAGTTCTTTGATAATTCTAGAGACTGATCTTTTTTTTTTTTTTTTTTTTATGTGAATTCTTTTATTATTTTGTAGTATTAGAAGTGGTGTTGCTTATTACTTTGGCCTGAATATTGAGCTTGGTATTTATCAATTTCCAATTGACTGTTTTGGTTTAGGTTAGTCTGAGGCAACATGCATGCTAGGCATCGAAGTCCTGGAAATGGGTATAGGTCTAATTCAATGGGGATGGGTATGCCCCCCGAAGGGTCAGCTAGGGGCCGTGGATTTTATTCAGAATACCGAAGCTTTAACCGTGGGTTTGGGCGTGGCCAGGGCCAGCCTAAATCATTTCAGCAACTACCACCAACGCCACGAAAAAGTGATGTTTTTATGGAAGCTGGTCGACTTGCAGCTGAGTACTTGGTTTCTCAAGGACTGCTGCCTCCTGGCATACTCTCTGGTAAATTGCAGAACGGTGCTTTTAGATCAGAAGATGGAGAAAACTTGCAGCTTCCACCTGAAGGCAGGTCATCAGCCCTTGCTCGCCTTGGGAATTCTGGTTCAGATGTGGGGTCTGGTAGGAGAAGATACCCTGATGATTATAACTCAATGGGATTGAGGAATTATTTGAATCGAAGGAAAAAAGGAGGATCCTTTAAGAGTAATAGCTTGGACTGGGGAAGAGAATATGGGAGAAGTGGATCATGGTCTGAAAAAGGTAGGGTTTCCCCTGATATTGAGGGGGATTGTGATTCTTATTCTGGAAATCAAGAGGAGCAACAAGTTAGTAAAGATGTTGGTAATGCATTGCAGAAGCCAGGTTTAGGTGAGTTGGCACCAAAAAGTGAGGAAGCCAGTGGTTTAGAGTCTGGATTGGAAAAGTTCAACATCCAGGATGAAATGGGATCAAGGGCAAGTTCTTCTAGTGTTGGGAAAGGTTTACTGCATGAGACTGGTGTGGAATTCTCCAAGAAATCTGTGGATTCAACAAACATGGATATGGAGGCTGGGGAGCTGAAGGATGAGATTTGTGATGAAGAAACCGAGGAACAAGATGCCTTGGAGGAATCAGCCATCAAGCATTATTCTCTGGAGGATGATACTTCAACCAAGAGTAACAATGACCTGCTGACATTGTGCAGATTTGCCAAGGTGCCTACCAAGACCCGTTCTTCTTTAACATATAAAGGCCTGAAGGTTGATTCAGTTTCAAATAATGATGTGGAAAAGACTTCTGATACCATACTTCCAATAGGACCTGAAGCGTTAGTTGAAAATAACTCTTTGGTTAGCTCTGCTGTTGATTTGTTACCAGATAAAACTCTTGATTCAAAGTGCCCTGATTCTGAAATATCTAAAGCTCCGCATGTCCAGTCTATTGAGGGTGTTGGAACATTAGGTTCTCTTTATGGTGTTGACGAAGGCCAATTTATGAGGTCTCAATCCTTCCCAGATAGAGCTTTAATGTGTGATGTTGATCAGGAATTAGGTCAGGGGCTTTCTGGTCTCCAAAAGTCCAGCTCCATGGTCCAAGAGAGGGGTGAAAAACGAACTATGGAAGAGCATGATTCAGTGGAGGCAACCAAGAAATTAAGAGAATGGTTTCCGTCCAATGAATACTCTAACATATCTAGTATGAGTGACAAGAAAGCTAGTTCACAAGAAGAAACAGCTACACCTTGTGAAGTGAGTCTGGCTGTTGATCCAGAGAACTCGGTTAATCGTTTTTCATTCCCAAGGAGAGGCGGTGAACCTTGTGTTGAGTATGCACAAGAGAAACAATTGTTTCCTGGTTCGTTTAAAATTTGTGACCTGAATCTTATGGAAGCTTCTGACATAAATGAGAATCATCATAGTGATCCAACTTTAATTTACCCTACTATTCCCAAAAAAGAAGCTACACCTGTTGATGTTGATCTATCAATGAGTAATTCTATTATGTCTGGTGATTATAGTAGACGAACAAGTGATGGTAAGGAGATTGAGATAATTGATTTGGAGAATGATTCTGCCCAAACAGAGAAGGCTTCTGATAATAATTCAGAGCGAAAGTACGTTTCTTTTATCCATATGCTTTCTTCATACCTCAAAAACAATATGCTTTAATAGTATGGTTGCTGATCAGTGTTGATTTCACTCACTTTCATTTCTCTTCTTCATCTTAAATGTTCAATCTTGCAGGACAGAAACTATGTTTACAGGCATGGAAGGCTTTTCTAATCATGTACAGAATGCTGGTCATATTCCTGATGTTCAGGATAATTATGATGGGCTTATGATCACGCAATTACTCAATAACTTTCCAGATTGTCCTGGGGTTCCAGTGGATATAAATGCTCTGCAGAATGAGATGGCCATTCACAATGGGGAGGTATCACCATTAATTTCTAAGAATTGTCTATCTTTTCAACGTGAATTCTTCTAATTTCATAGACATACACCTGGCAACATGATGGTTGCTGGGCTCAATTTTAATGCCCATCAGTAGTGTCATTGATTGTTAATTATGCATTCATGGTGTTATGGTGCTCTTTGTTTGATCACTGAAGACGTGCATTAATGTATTATAAGTCTGACTTAATTATAACTGATGAGTAACTAACTGTTTTTTTCCTGGCTGTTTCAGGTGGCTCTTGGTGATGATGATTCAATATATATGTCCCTTGGAGAAATACCATTAAGTATGCCAGATATTTAATTTCATGGTTTGTTTTCTTATTGATCTAGAGTTTGTGTGGCTGATCTGCTTAGGGTGGTGTTTCGATTGAGTGTTGATGAGTTTATTTGAATTTTTTATTTTTTTATTTTGCATCAACTGAATGTTGAGGTCATAGATATTGGCCATATGCAAATTTGCTGTACACATGTTCTACCAAAAGTGTACTATGCTCGAATCTTTGAAATATTTTTTTTTTTTTTTTTAGAAGTGGTGTTGCTTATTACTTTGGCCTGAATATTGAGCTTGGTATTTATCAATTTCCAATTGACTGTTTTGGTTTAGGTTAGTCTGAAGCAACATGCATGCTAGGCATCGAAGTCCTGGAAATGGGTATAGGTCTAATTCAATGGGGATGGGTATGCCCCCCGAAGGGTCAGCTAGGGGCCGTGGATTTTATTCAGAATACCGAAGCTTTAACCGTGGGTTTGGGCGTGGCCAGGGCCAGCCTAAATCATTTCAGCAACTACCACCAACGCCACGAAAAAGTGATGTTTTTATGGAAGCTGGTCGACTTGCAGCTGAGTACTTGGTTTCTCAAGGACTGCTGCCTCCTGGCATACTCTCTGGTAAATTGCAGAACGGTGCTTTTAGATCAGAAGATGGAGAAAACTTGCAGCTTCCACCTGAAGGCAGGTCATCAGCCCTTGCTCGCCTTGGGAATTCTGGTTCAGATGTGGGGTCTGGTAGGAGAAGATACCCTGATGATTATAACTCAATGGGATTGAGGAATTATTTGAATCGAAGGAAAAAAGGAGGATCCTTTAAGAGTAATAGCTTGGACTGGGGAAGAGAATATGGGAGAAGTGGATCATGGTCTGAAAAAGGTAGGGTTTCCCCTGATATTGAGGGTGATTGTGATTCTTATTCTGGAAATCAAGAGGAGCAACAAGTTAGTAAAGATGTTGGTAATGGATTGCAGAAGCCAGGTTTAGGTGAGTTGGCACCAAAAAGTGAGGAAGCCAGTGGTTTAGAGTCTGGATTGGAAAAGTTCAACATCCAGGATGAAATGGGATCAAGGGCAAGTTCTTCTAGTGTTGGGAAAGGTTTACTGCATGAGACTGGTGTGGAATTCTCCAAGAAATCTGTGGATTCAACAAACATGGATATGGAGGCTGGGGAGCTGAAGGATGAGATTTGTGATGAAGAAACCGAGGAACAAGATGCCTTGGAGGAATCAGCCATCAAGCATTATTCTCTGGAGGATGATACTTCAACCAAGAGTAACAATGACCTGCTGACATTGTGCAGATTTGCCAAGGTGCCTACCAAGACCCGTTCTTCTTTAACATATAAAGGCCTGAAGGTTGATTCAGTTTCTAATAATGATGTGGAAAAGAATTCTGATACCATACTTCCAGTAGGATCTGAAGCGTTAGTTGAAAATAACTCTTTGGTTAGCTCTGCTGTTGATTTGTTACCAGATAAAACTATTGATTCAAAGTGCCCTGACTCTGAAATATCTAAAGCTCCGCATGTCCAGTCTATTGAGGGTGTTGGAACATTAGGTTCTCTTTATGGTGTTGACGAAGGCCAATTTATGAGGTCTCAATCCTTCCCAGATAGAGCTTTAATGTGTGATGTTGATCAGGAATTAGGTCAGGGGCTTTCTGGTCTCCAAAAGTCCAGCTCCATGGTCCAAGAGAGGGGTGAAAAACGAACTATGGAAGAGCATGATTCAGTGGAGGCAACCAAGAAATTAAGAGAATGGTTTCCGTCCAATGAATACTCTAACATATCTAGTATGAGTGACAAGAAAGCTAGTTCACAAGAAGAAACAGCTACACCTTGTGAAGTGAGTCTGGCTGTTGATCCAGAGAACTCGGTTAATCGTTTTTCATTCCCAAGGAGAGGCGGTGAACCTTGTGTTGAGTATGCACAAGAGAAACAATTGTTTCCTGGTTCGTTTAAAATTTGTGACCTGAATCTTATGGAAGCTTCTGACATAAATGAGAATCATCATAGTGATCCAACTTTAATTTACCCTACTATTCCCAAAAAAGAAGCTACACCTGTTGATGTTGATCTATCAATGAGTAATTCTATTATGTCTGGTGATTATAGTAGACGAACAAGTGATGGTAAGGAGATTGAGATAATTGATTTGGAGAATGATTCTGCCCAAACAGAGAAGGCTTCTGATAATAATTCAGAGCGAAAGTACGTTTCTTTTATCCATATGCTTTCTTCATACCTCAAAAACAATATGCTTTAATAGTATGGTTGCTGATCAGTGTTGATTTCACTCACTTTCATTTCTCTTCTTCATCTTAAATGTTCAATCTTGCAGGACAGAAACTATGTTTACAGGCATGGAAGGCTTTTCTAATCATGTACAGAATGCTGGTCATATTCCTGATGTTCAGGATAATTATGATGGGCTTATGATCACGCAATTACTCAATAACTTTCCAGATTGTCCTGGGGTTCCAGTGGATATAAATGCTCTGCAGAATGAGATGGCCATTAACAATGGAGAGGTATCACCATTAATTTCTAAGAATTGTCTATCCATTCAACGTGAATTCTTCTAATTTCATAGACATACACCTGGCAACATGATGGTTGCTAGGCTCAATTTTAATGCCCATCAGTAGTGTCATTGATTGTTAATTATGCATTCATGGTGTTATGGTGCTCTTTGTTTGATCACTGAAGACGTGCATTAATGTATTATAAGTCTGACTTAATTATAACTGATGAGTAACTAACTGTTTTTTCCTGGCTATTTCAGGTGGCTCTTGGTGATGATGATTCAATATATATGTCCCTTGGAGAAATACCATTAAGTATGCCAGATATTTAATTTCATGGTTTGTTTTCTTATTGATCTAGAGTTTGTGTGGCTGATCTGCTTAGGGTGGTGTTTCGATTGAGTGTTGATGAGTTTATTTGATTTTTTTTTTTTTTTTTTTTTTCCCGCATCAACTGAATGTTGGGGTCTGTTGGCCATTTGCAATTTTGCTGTACACGTGTTCTATCAAAAGTGTACTATGCTCGAATCTTTGAAATATATATATATATTTTTTTGACATTATGAATATTTAGTTCTTAGGGGATAATAGCAGAAAGATAATGAAAAGATTTAAAAAGTAGCTTCCTTCTTCTATCATGTTCAAGAATCTTCCTCTTGTTTTTGTCCTTCTTTTTAACATCTATATGGATTTTTTTCGAGAAAAACGTGTCTTAGTGTACTTTGGAACATATTTCTTCAACTTAATTTATTCATTGACAGATGGAGGATTGATAACGTGCAGTGTTGTATTTAACATGTTATGCATGTCTGCTGATAAACACTCAGAGAAATCCCTAGATAATGTTTGTTATCTCTCTCTTGACTGGTGCATTTGATAGTCTGTTAAATGCGTTTGGCTCCCATCTCATTGCCTTTTAATTTTGCAACATTGTGGAAGAAATCATATTTTGAACATAATCCGGTGATTGCCTGCTAAGGTTGCCTAGTGTAAATTGTAAGGCTGCATTAAGCATGAAAGTCATTCAGGGTCTGCAAGAAAATCATTTATGGGTTATTGATGAATGGAAGGGTTTTGGAACTTTGGATAACTTCGAAAGTGTTCTGAAGGGGAGGGACCACACTTTTGAACCATATTACCGCATGCAAATCTTGCAAGTCCTCAATTTTAGATGTTTTTTTCTTAACGCAAATTATAACTGGGAGATTTACCTCTGAGATTATTGAGTCATTGCTTTTATTTTCTGGTTTACCATTTCTCAGATCAAGCAGAGCCTTTAATTAGTTTGCAAATTTGTACAACCAAGAGAATCCTGTGATTGCATTTATAATGAAGCATAAAGTAGTGTGTTGTATTTATTGTCCTACACATGCAAATGCAGAACTTTGTTAGATCATTCGCATGTCATGCTAATTCTGATTAATACTGTTCTTATATGAACCAGTTCGCTTTCAATTTCAGTAGCTGAAGTTTTGCCGCTTACCAATTGATCAGTCTTTGAACTTTTGATGGTAGGTTTTTTGCGTGGCTGGGAGCAGCCACCACCACAGGAGTACGAGAAGCCCTTTTGATTCAGCATGTGCTGAAAAATCAAAGACAGAATACTAGTTGGTATGCATAATATTGGTCGATGGAGTTGTTGTTTTGCTGCTGCGATGAATGATTAACTTTATCCAACTCCAGCCTTTAGTTTAGATTTGGTTTTGTTTATAGATGATAAGTGTATTCCTCCTGTAGGAATCTTAGAAAATGGTGAATTCTCTTCATATTTGGCTGTAGCACCTCATTTTTATACTGAAAGAAGTTGATCATCACGTTTGTGTTTAAATAGTCTATTTCTTACTTTTCTGCACATCCAGTAATAAAATTGAGGTATAGCAAATGTATGACAACACTTTCTGTTTACTCAAGTAAAATAGAAAAAGGGAAGGGGGACCTCTCTCAGCCACTGAATCATGGAATTGTAGGATTCTTGTGAGGAGTGGATATGGCTTTGGTACATCTATTTACTATATATATCACGGCACTGCATGTGGATTGTATGCTTAACTTCTTGCACAGGTACATGACTTTTGACTCTAAAAAGACAACACTTTGAAAGGCAGTTCATCTTGCAATTTACATCACCTCCTTTTTCTTTTGTATTCTTATGTGCATGAACATGCTAAATAAACAAACAGTGTATGGTTCATGCATCCTCTTAAAAAATTCATATGTTATCACATAACATCACGAGTTTGGTCAAGTTATCGTATCAGTAATGCTGATTAGAATCTTGAATTGTGTATAATATTTGAAGATTGGCTGCAAAAGTTAAGCCTAACCACACATCTGAGTGTCATAGGGATAAGATAACAGGCCAAAAGGATGAGCTGCTCTTTATAAGTATTGATTACATGGATGGTGTGTTTTAAGTGTTGTATTGTACCCTTTCTGAAAGGAGAGATGGGTGATCTTAGTCAAGAAAATTAATTAAAATCTTGAAGAAGAAGCAGATTAGTTGGAAATAATAAGACCAGAGAAAAAAAAAGATCACTTTGGATGTTGACACAACATGAAAGAAATTAGACTTGTTTATTTAAAAGGGGTTATGGAGAAATGTGATAAGGCTCTTATACACATGGTTTACCTTGGAATAAGAAGCAGCAGAAACATGATTATACAGTAGAGGTTTCTTGTTGTATACACTGTATAAAGTGTAACTGACTCTGTTATTAAGAGGAAGTGGACATGTTTCTAATTCATATATGTTTAGGTTTTACCTATTAATGTTATGTTTATGAGTTACTTTATAAGATTTGAACAAGAGTTTTGCCAAGAAGGTTCGGTTTACGGATGATGCCTAAAAATTTGGACCCCTTTTGTAACTTAGTTTTTACCTTATATTGAGAGAGAAAGTGTAGTACTACTGTACTAGTCATGTCATGCGGTGGTCTTGGATTGAGGCAAGGGAGGATGGGGCACCATTACATGTCCTTTTCACTTACCCAATGCCAATGCATTGCATCTACACCAGATACCTATTATGTTGATATCTGTATACTCTATATATATACTACTTCAAAAACGACACAGTTTTTAATCCGCAAAACATTTTTTCTTAAGCCCTTATTTACCTTAGGTTTTAGAAGGATTAATTTCATCCACTCCTAAGAGGCAGTAAAATCGCAAATACAAACCTTAAAGGGTTGGTCTGACCATCAAGGAGATTTGCTCCCTTTTTTAAGTTTTTAGGTTCAAACATTGGATCTGTTTACTTGGTCCTTTAAGCTTGTAGGGTGTTCAATAGACTTCGTTAATTGGTTGAGGTTCACGTAAGCTAACTTAGACACCTTGGTTACCAAAAAAGAAACCGCAAATACTTTGATAATTTTTGAAAATAATTAAATACATTTTTAAAATTATTAAGGAAAAAAACTCTTAAAAAGATTACAAAACCCTCTAAACACCCTTACAAAGTGTAATTTGAGGTAAAATATTAAATTAGAATGAATTGATGAAGAAGGTAAAGGTGTAAGTTTGATGGGGATAAAAGGGAAAGGGCGGGATGAGATGAAAATACAGAAGAGTAAAGAAGGTGAAATGTGGCATGTTTTAATTGCAATAATACTACACATACATTATTCTCAAATAATTTTTTTGATATAATATTATGTGGTAAAATATAATTGGGTGAAAGTTTAATTTTAACTTTAAAACAGTTAATGATATCTTATCACATAATGTTGTATAAGAAATATTGTACGAAAATGATGTGAGTATATTACTGTTTTAATTGAACGAAGAGGAGAGTCTGGGATGCAGGAGCAGTAAAGTAAGTGGTAACAGTAACTGAGTAAATAAGATCTAACAACGTGGCCATATAGTCATAACTCACACTACGTTAATCTCCGTACACGTGGCCCCCTCTTATTTACGTCAACAACCCACCACTTTACATATAATAATATACTCTTACCTTTCTCTATGATTCACCCTTTTGTCCACTTCTTCTACTTTCTACATCCATCGTATGTATATACGTATATTCGATCAATTACTCTGATATGTATACATGGTACGTACTTAATAATAGCAGTTTGGAGTAAATACAGTGATCTCTTTGACCTAAAGCCAGGGTACGAGCATAAGATGATGAATGCAAGAATTTGATATATATCATGTTCATGTGTACATAGATTTTACATATAATATACCAGAAATATATCGAAGAATAGTAATGATCTGATGAGCGATCCAGTTAAAAGAATAATATATGAGAGAGAGATATGAAATTGCCAATTGCCACCATTCTTCTTCATCTTCTTAAATTTCTTCTTGTACAGAAGTACGAGTGGCCCCTATGCATAAGGCATGGCCTGCCCTCCTCTTCAAGCAGAATGCTAAGTCTCTTTCTCTTAACTTTCATTTACTCCTACCAGCAATAATCGTTGGACCAACTAGGGTTTCTGTTTCTTAATTTAATATATGATAACTGCATGGGTAAATATATATGACATTGTGGGTGATTATGCTTTAATTTGATCTTTTTATCATATATTATAGAAATGTGATGATACTACATAGTTTATCTTTATTGAAATTTTCTTTGAAGTTGATCATTCTTCCAGTAACTTTAATGGGGAGTGGGGTCTATCAATGTTCCCTCTTAGCCGCTAAAGAAACCAATTTTTTTTTTTATTTTTTATAATATATACTCCATAAAATAAGGTAACCCAATTGATGGAATAATATACTTACCAATCACACATTTCTCTTTAATTATAATTCTTGGTCCAACGCCATTTCTTATGCGACAAAAGTTGTTGAGCCAAATTTTTATTATTTATTTAATTGAAGGCAAAAACATCCTAAGCTAGCTCTTACTTTCCTTATATTCATATTCAAAATGTCTTCATCAAATACTAAGAGTATTTCAATTTGAATATGTCTTTATAAATAAGAAAAAAAAAATGTTGGGATAAAATAAATTAATATCTAATTGAATTGCCTCGTATAACATAACGTAGCTTGATCCATTGTATTTTTTTATATTTATTCATAATGTGTTTGTTCTAAGATTTGCTTCGATGAGAAGTTCGAGAGATTATCAAAGTTTGAGAAGCCAAAGAGATTGCCAGAAATGGACAGTTCCAATTCCCATCGTTTACAAAATATATTATCAATCTGATCTTTTATAAACCCTAAACATATTATATATACTGCACAATACATATAGATTTATTCAGACTACTATATATATATATATATATATATATATATAGATGCATGCATGGGGATGGAAAGAAATTCGGAATAAATAGAGATATATATTCCACTAATTAAGTTGAAGTTAAGTTTGATAATTGCAATATATATACACTATTTTATATATTATATATGTTAAAATTATGTCCATGAGATGAATCCAACATAGCTTAAACATCCTTTTAACAAAATTTATTTCAACATGTTTTAACAAAATAACTACTATATACATATATCTGTACAATTAAGAGAAGACGAAGGGATATGAAATTTAGAATAGAGTAAAAAATAAATAGCAAATATAATAAGTTCTCGTTTACTTTTTAACTTATTTTAAGCTACAAGAAAACCCCTGAAATTATTAAAAATTTCACATATAAATACTTAGAATCAAGTATTGAGATTGTGTTATATATTTGCGTAGAAATTGAGCTTTGTAATTGAAATAATTTGACCCATTTTTGAAGGGGGGTCAGTGTGTAATAATAATGAGTTGGGAAGAAAGAAGGAAAAAAACCGAGGATAGAAATTTGGAGGGTGGTGGTGAAACACAACAGCAAAGAGGTTGTCTTGTAGTGAAGTTAGAAATTGTGAGAAAGGGAATTGTCCAAAACAGACAATTCACATCCATACCATAAAAATCAAGAATAAAGAAACCAAAGAAAATGAGGGCTTGTAGGGTAGGTATAGGATAGGACAGCTTTGTATTCGTAAATTTGTCCCGTTTTTTAACTAAATGACATTAAAACATACATATTTTGAAAAATAATAAAACAAACCCTATTTTGCGGTTTTGTTGAGGAGTTTTGGAATACTTTTGTGAAGATTGTGAAAGAGAGAAACACAAACACAAGTAGAGTAAGAAGAAGACCATAAATAATAACTCTTCTCTTTCTTACTTTGGTTTTTGTTTGTTTTCTCTTTTGATAGAGTGAGTAGAGAGTGAGTCCTAAACGCATATTCACAGATGGGGGTGGGGAGGTGAATCGTGGGTGATTAAATGGTATAAACTTGCTTTTTGGTGGAGAGAACCTGATGCCCTTTTGATGTGTTAGTGGGTGGTGCTGTTTTTCTCTCTTTAACACACACACGTATTCATATTCACATACACTCTCTCTTCAAGACTTCCATTTTTCTTCTTATTTTCTTCCCCAAAACAATCCATCCTTCCATCCCCTTTATTAAAGTTACAAGGTTTGTATGCTTTGCTTTGTTATGCTATGTTTGTAATCTCTCTTCCTTGGAGTTTTTTGTTTTTCTATCTTTCTGGGTCTGTTCTCTCTTCTCTTGGGTCTTTTCTAGATTTTTCTCTTGAAGCTTCTCGGGATTTCTTCATCATCATCTCTTTGTTTCTCGAGTTTGGGAAGTCTTTGTTTATTTTCTAACAAAAAATGGGAAAAATCTGGTCTGTGGTCATGTGTTTTACACTTGTAGATTTTGTTTTATGGTCAGTTCAACTGTTGTCTTCCACGATTTGTCTCTCAATTGAAGTCTTTTTTATTTAATTAACCATAGAATCTTTTCTCTTTCAGTGGTTTGATTTTGAATTTCTTTTCTTTTTCCTATTTACCGTTTTCTTCACTCACTACTGCCTCAAAGCTTTTAATTTTCTGTTTGTGTTGTAGCTCTTACTTTGAATCTATAGCTATTATCATACGATTTGCTTTTTCAAGATTTGATTTTTAAGATATGGTAGTGGATGGTGGTATCTCAAAGTCTTGATTTTGAACACTTTTTTCTGGGTTTTCTTCACATAAAATAACGCTATCTCCCCATGAAACTTTAAGCCTTGAACAATATCTTTGTTTGTGGGGTTGTGTTCTTTGCTTATTTTTGTGCTTTGCTTGATCAATCAAAGCATAGATGCTTCAAATTTACTCATTTCCTTCACATAAAATAACGTCTCTAGATGGGTCTAGAATAATCTCCTTCTCTTGATCTCATCTTCTTCTTCTTATGTGTGTCTCTTTCAGGTAAATTAAATGGATGAAGATTCAAGTGGTGGTGTTTTTAATTGATATACTTGTTCTTCTTCTGCTGTTTCTGCGTCTGTTGCTTTAACTTGGTGGTGGGGTTTAGCGTGATAAAAGAGGCCTAGTTTTCTATATGCTGAAGGCTAAGAAGTTAAAAAATAAGGCCCAGGTGTGGATTAGTATTAGTAGAAGAAGAAGAGCTTGTGACTGTTTCACAAACAGCACAAGAAGAGTGAAGCTTTTCTTCAGATGTTATCCATTGAAAACCCTCCATCAGATCCCTCATGTTCTTGTCAATTTCCACAACTAAATACCACTCACAGTGATGACTCGCCTTCTGATAAGCTTGACGTAGATCTGCTTAACCCACCTCCTCCTTCTCCTCATCTTCCGAAATTCTCCATAAGGTAATTACTAATTATGTACTCAACGGTTCTCTCTCTCTCTCTCTCTCTCTCTCTCTTTCTTGCTCTCTCTCTCTCTCTCTCTTCTCTTGGTTTTTTTTATTTTTTAATTTTAACTTTGATTCTTTGTTGGGTCAGATCCAGAGCTACATGTTACCTTTGGTACCCCATCTTGTCTCTATTTTGTGTTTTGGGGTTCTTTTGTACTTTGATTGGTTTATGATTTCATTCACCTAGCTTCTACTTTGTTTGTGTGAAAGGAAAATTTTTTCTCGATCTTTTAGTTGCTGTTCTTCGTTGATGTTGCTTTGTGTGTGATTTCATGTCACTTTGGACATGAGGTTTATCAATCTATCTGTGTTTACTTGTTCTAAGTTCTTACCACATCACGCAACAAAACTCGAGACTTTTTGTACGTTTATTAGATCACCGAATCCTGGGTATTTCTTGGCTGTTTCTCTACTGTTGATGTGTTTTTTTTTTTTTTTTATCTTGAATTTCGTGGTCCATATGTTCCTTTCATGAATTAACATACAATATAAAGGTCTTATAAATTTAAAAAATGAAGCTTATTGTTGATGATTTTAACTTCTGATATGTGTTGTTAATTAATCAAAAGTTACTAACAATACATGATCGTTTCAACTGTAGAGATTATGTGTTCACTTCTCGGGGAAAAGATATCAAGAAGAATTGGCCTTTCTCTCTGAAAAATTTGCAACTTTGTTTGAAACATGGCGTGAAGGATGTATTGCCACCATTTCAGGCTATTGGTGCTGTAAAGACTCAAGCCACTAAGAGATGGACGGTTGACACTTGTTCAATTGAAAAGAAAAGCATAGGTAATTTTGATGCGGAGCCTGGTTCCGGGCCCAACAATAATGAGGTTTTAGACTCAGCTGATGATGTTCAGTTGAAGCATAAGCTTGAAAATGCTTGCATAGACACAAGTTCATGCAGATCTGCAGGTGAGAATGATTTTCCATCCACAACAACAAGTGTTTCTCAATCTGAAATAGAGTCTGTTCCTACTGAAAGGCCATCTAGTTCACCACCTGAAACCGACACTTTGTTGGAAGCCTCAGCCTCAGCCTCAGCCTCAGCCACCGTTGAAGTTGAAGCAGGTCATCCTACATCCCATAAGACTGAAAACACTACCCGACCCCCAGGAAAAAAGTGCAGATTGATAGTAAAGTTTAGTGGAAATTCTGATCGTAGCTCAACCGAAGATATTGCTTCAAATTCTACTGCTGTATCTGAAACAATGGCTTCAAAAGTTTGCCCTGTTTGCAAAATTTTCACATCCTCATCAAATACCACCTTGAATGCACACATTGATCAGTGCCTTTCTGCGGAGTCGACTCCCAAGTGGACAGCAGATTCTAGAGTTACCAAGCATAGAATTAAACCGAGAAAGACCAGACTGATGGTGGATATATATTCTACAGCTCAAAGGTGCACTTTAGAAGAGCTTGATAGAAGAAATGGCACAAGCTGGGCCACTATTTCAAGCTTGCCTGCTCAGGATTCCGAGAAGCTTGATGTACCAGCTGAAGTGAAAAGGCAAAGAGTGTCTCAGGTACATCCTGAGGATGCTGGTGAAGTAGGTGAAGTTTATATTGATGCCAACGGAACCAAACTTCGGATTTTATCCAAGTCTAATGATGCACCAGTTGTGTCAAAAGTAGTAGAGGATCTTCCACCAAAGAATCCTTTGAAAGGAGGTAAAGGAAGCAAATTCCTATCAATCAAAAAGAAAAAGAGGCATGCTAGGAAACATCTGAAGTATCTGAAACTTGCTCCTCAAAGCAGAAAATTTTTCTCTTACAAAGCTCGTGCTTCTCAGGTACACTACCCTTGCTTTTGATATTCATTTCTCTCTTGACTCTTAGCCTTCTACCATAATATCTATGCTTCTCTTTTTCTTTTTCTGGGAAAGCCATACCTTTATGGGTTTCTCCATTGAGGGCTTCTATTTCAATTTGAGACAAGAAATTCATATATATATTACTTTGCTCTCTCACTCATAAAACTGGGTTCGTGTTCTTCATTTGTCTATATTTTGTTGTATTTACTTTAACAATGACCCTTAATTAGCATCCATTTAAATGCTAGAATGGTACCATACTCTTAAAAGTATTTACATGAGCAATGTCTGACTTTGTGCTTGACTTTGATTCACAAGTTTTGAATTGACTATTTGTCATGAATGTGGTACTTTGAAATTCAACAGCATATGTTGGTTGATTTGTTTTTACAGATATCTAGGGGTGAAGGGTATAATGAGGTGGAAGAAAGCAGCAAGGAGAAACATGAGATACAAAAGCAAATCAGATCCAGTGATTCTGGAACTTTGAGGCAGTGGGTACGCTCTAAACGAAGGGGTCTGGCAAAGAAAGCCAATAATCAAGGTGGCAATCAACCTTTCAGATGTAAGTGGCATTTAGCTCGGGGCTTGTTGGTAGAGAATGATCAGCCACTAGGTGAAACTTTAGCGGAGAGAAATCGTGTTCAGAAATTTACAAATTTGTCTGAGAATCTGTTGTCTTCTCCATCAACTAGTGAGAGGGTGGAGAATCCTTTTTATAATTCCCAAGTTAGTGACAGATCGGAGCATTCTTCTGGGAGAAAGAGAGTAGGAAGTTCGTTCTTTGGAGCCAGGATAAGTGATAACATGGAAAGGTCTCTTCCACAAATAAACCATCATGGCAATCAACTAAGCGAAGATAGCCCTTTCAGAAATGGCAGCCATACATTTGAACCTTCTAACTCTAGTAGAAATTGTGTATCTTCAGTGAACAACAAGAGAGTTGGTAATCATGGAGACCCGGATAATAATTCTGATATCCTTCCTGGTACAAGCACAGCACCATCGTTGAATACTCATGCACTTGCATCAAAAGCATTGAGAACAGTGTTGAGGAAAAAGGCATCGTCTGTTAGCTGCCAGTCATCTGTGATTAAATCCAAACCTAATATGGGTGAGAAATTTTCTGCTCGAAGGAAGAATCGAATGGTTCAAATTGGACAAGTAGATGAAGATGTAGCAGCTTGGCATTCTGAGGTTGATCAACAATATGCTTTAATGCACAATGGTACTGATGAACATCTTGGAAGAGAAGAAATAACTGAAAATACCTGTTTTGAGAGAGGTGGTGTACTTGAAGGCAAGCAAGATAGAGGATCAATAAGCTTCTCTCAAGAGGATGGAGCACCTCAATCATATGGCCATGATGAAGGAAAAAATACAGATTCTTCTGCTAGAGCTGGTGATGATCTCCTAGAAAAGGTTGATGTCCTTGAATCAGTTGAGGCGGGAGTCACGAGTTTGAGGCAATCTGCAGTTACTAAGTTCCACAAGCTGAGTAATCGTCCCAAGACCCAATCCAACTCTTTACATTCTGTTGAGGACTATAATGGAATTTTATGTGGAGGTGAAGCCCTGACAGGCCCAACTGAGCCAGGATTTGTTAATGGAGAAGAAATTTATTGTTCTGATGAAGTAGGCAATGGTATGATCGGGCAAAGTGCTCATATGGGGCCTGGACTGGATTCTGATATTGGTCACGGAAATTCTTTTCCTGAGGTTGATCCGATACCAATTCCAGGACCACCTGGTTCGTTTTTACCAAGTCCTAGGGACATGGGATCAGATGATTTTCAAGGAAACTCATCATTGACCACAAGCCGGGTTCAGTCTTCTCAAGATCAGCTTGATTTTGTAGATGGAGATTCATCAGACTCACCAATTTCTGCAACATCGACAATCTCTAACTCCACTGCTGCCAGATCTAATTTGAAGTACCAAGAATCATTATCATCTGTAGGAGTTCATGCAATTCAAGACAGGGTGAGGTCAGGCTTCTCCACTGCTAGTATGGAGGCTGTGGTTCCACTGACAGGTCCAGGAGCAGAAAAAACTTATCCTGAGGGAGAGAAATTTAAAGTCAATAAGATATCTATTGAGAAGAGACCTCTCAGTTTCAAGAATGATGGTCAACCTTGCTGCTGCCAAAGGAAGGAGAGAATTTCTCAGGATATTGCACCGAATTATCAAGAATCACAATTACTAAGGCGGCGGACAATGGCTTCGGTGACACTGCCTGCCATGGGAAAGCAAAATGTCAGACCCAACAATTTTGATGCAAGGCCTGAAATACTTCCTCTCAGTGGTTGCCCTAGTTTCGGATCTGAGAAGGTTGTGCTTCCATTGAAGGGCCCTGCTGGTTCCATTTCAGTAAAGGGATCTCCTGAAGGGACGAAGTTTGTAGGTCATGGTGATTGTGACTCTCCAAGTCCATCCACTCCTAATCCAATACTCAGGCTCATGGGGAAGAATCTAATGGTGGTCAACAAAGAGGAAGATACTGCTATGCCCCTTGGGCAGTCCCAGCAATGTGCCCAGAATAGCCAAGTAATTTCTCAGTTTCAAACGGCATCTCGAGTCTCTCCTGGCAATATGCAAAATCAGGATTGCCATTCCTTCACTCATATGCCTCCTCTAGCTCCTGTAATCTTCAATCGTAATCCTTATGATGCTGTTGGGCCATCTTTTGAAGTTAGGTTTTCGAGCAGTTATAGAAACCACACTAATCCCAGGACACCACAGACACCTGCACATGTTCCAGCAAGCCTGTTTCCTAACCAGCATATAAATGGTGGTTTTGCTGCATCTCTGGAGCCTAACATGTATGAGGATGCTTACAGTTTATCAAGTAGACATAGCAGACCCAGGATCAGACTGAATGAAACATCCCCATATAATATAGACAAAGTTTTAACAACTCTTGATCGCCCTCAAAAGACTGCAGATGGTGGTGCTTCTATCAAAGAAATCATTGTCATTGATGATGTTCCTGAAAGTGAAGCCAATGAGAGTGCTGATGTTGCAAAATATTCTGAAGGCTTAAGGACAACCCAGCTGATTTCATCTGGCATTTCAATTCCAACAGTTCCCAGTTATAACTCAAGGCATGTGAGTCCTTTCTCTGGTTATCAACCACAGGATCCTTCTCTTTTGGGTGAGTCACCTGTGATGCACAACAGTAGTTTCCATGCAATGCCCTCCAGGCTACCCAATTCCAGTCCTGTTAAGTGGAGTTGTACTCCAGAAAGTTCTGGTGTGCTCCAGCGGAGTTCCTTTATGGCTGCGTCTACCTCAAGTGGTCATCATTTGGGATCGTCACTTTATTATTCTCCAAGCTTGTAATAGTCAGGAGCTTGGCTTGAGATGGCTATTTTCACACAATCCCTCATTACCAGGTTTTTCATTAATCAACCTTGTTCTCTTATTGAGCTTCTCCTAGATTACTGATGGCTAGAGACCCTGGGGTTGAAAAATGATTTCGACGTCAAAAAACAATGAAGGTTTGTTCCAATATAGTCTACAAGAGAGTTCGGCGGCTCAGATCTTGAATAGAGTTTGTATTTATATTTAATGTACTGAAGTTGGGTAAACTTAATGCTTTTTTTTGAGGGTTCTAATGCTTAGGCAAACTTAAAAGTTGTTGCAGAGACTAGAAAAATGTATAAGCAAACCTTGAAATAATAGTTGATGACCAAACTTGGCTCAAAGCTAATGGAGTCAAGTGTTCTTATAATCAAAATTTCATAGTGCTTTCTTATATATCCTTCTCCCATTTTCTCAGAACTATGAGTTGTACCCTTTAATGACGTGGTAATTACTTGCATTTCCAAGATGAAATATTGAAGTTAGAATGGGCAGAAAAGACTAAAGAGGCAAGCATTGATCAAACTTCAAAGTTACACATAAGATAATAAACTGATCCGTTAAAGTTGATAATTACATGGTCTGCATGGGGACAGTCATGGCGGCAGGCAGCGCTTCACAAATTAACGCCTAGGCGTTGAGTCTTGTGCTATGTCATGTAACATATACATGCGGCATGCATGATTATGATTCAATAAAACTCCTCTTCTCGCAGTCTCAACCTTTTTACCACCAGTCATTGGTACAATACAAATCGCTCATCATCCATCACATTCATAATATTATTATCACTCTCTGCATGCATTTATTTAATATTGATCATTTCATGGAGTAAAAACTAAACTCTATAAGTCTTAGCTTTTTGCACTTTACACCCACATAAAATTACGCCCCAAGTCTCTTCTTTGGACCCCAACAAGAAGGTAAAAAGCCGAGGGAGGAAAAATTTCTGTAGTTTTATCTAATTAGTTTGGCATGTGAGAGAGAAAATCTTTGTTCAGAGAAAGCATGTAAGTTTGGCAGAGATATAGCATGAAATATAGCCGTTATACAGAGAAATATAAAGAGTACAATTGAGTAATAACAAAGAAGAGTTTTTGAGCCGTTTGGTTAAATAGTGTGCATACGCTCCTTCCCACCTTTAACTTTCGGGAAATGTTTTTTAAAAACAGTTTTTTGTTTCAAGTTTTTATTGTCAACTTGAGTTTTGAGATATGTAACGTGGGTTGTGCGTTTTTGCATGGTGAAAGCTGGACACCTTATTTAGTCTTTACAATGACGAATGCTCTAATTTGTGCAATGGTGGGCCATTCTTTGTCTCTCTTTCTTATTTCAATTTATCATCACTTTGACCATTCTTTTGCTTCTATTTTCCCTTAATTCTCCTCATTAAGATTAACATCCCCCAACGTAATATACACGTACACACACTTATCTTGTCATCATCAACTTCATCTTTCATGATTATTTTTTTTCTTCAACTTAGAGTCGGAAAATATTTACCTGATCTGTTTACTTGGTTAAATGGTGAACAGCACAAAAGGGCTAAAGTTTTTCATTTGTCTTTATAGTCATCATGTGCAGATTAGCAGCCATTAATTATTAATTAGGTTACTGATAATTAGCTGCAGCCAGATGATTGTTTTAGATGCATGAATAAGAGCATGATTAGGAAATGAATGATAGCTTGTATGTTTAAGTTGGTAACATTAGCCTATAAATTATCGTAACATCTTTCAAGAGTTGACAAAAGTTTAAATTATTTATGAAGCTCAGAATTAAATCATATTATAAATACAATGTATTTTGTCTTCCTTTTCAAAAGATGACATAAGCTAATAGTGCTCCACAGTCAACCCTTGACCAAATCTTAAACCTACCAAACTCAGCCTTTGAACAGTAGTTAGTTGTCTTGTTGGACAGTCAAACTCCACAAAACACGGTAAAATAATCATCTATTACCGTCGTCTCTGCCGCCGGCTACATCATCTTTCCAACCACACTTTTTTGGTTTGGCTGTTTGGTCAACTGGGTGGGTGAAAACAATGTTATACACTTCACTTGGGAACTTGCGTTTGTGGTTTTAGTTTGTTTGGTTCAGGGTCACTGTTTTAATTATTTTGAAAGCGAATTCTTGCTTTATTTTTTCTAACAATAAGTTTCTACCTTGAATATCTTTTGTGTGTTGTGGCTGTTGTTGTCATTGAATGCAAGGTCAAGTTTTGTTGGGGAAAGAATGAGCTTGTGTTGTGTCGGTGTGAAATTTGATGGAAATGAGAGAGATTATTTCAATGGATTCTATTGAAGATGCCCTTTTTCAAGTTTTAAGGATGTTGCTGCCGTTTTCCTGGAACTAAAGTAACAAGTTCGATTCCTTTTTTAACTTGTTTGTGTTGTTTTACTTTCAGATTTTGACCTGTAGTTGTTGTAGGTGTGCTTTTAGTTAATGGTTGTTCGACACTTCCAAGTTAAAGTCAAATAATTGAAGGATGCTAGATTTCAAATTCATAGCATACTAATCTACCATCTATGTAAATTACAGCAGAATAGGATGGGCGCAGATGCATAACTTACAATAATGCGCACAGTTGACGTGGTTTGCACTCATTGGATATCGTACATTTTACTGGTTTGATGTGTTCATGATACAGAAGTTTTTTCCGCATTCTACTGGGTAGATTTATGGAAGCCAATTAATGCCTCACTGCTCCCTCTATGAGCAATGGACCAGTCCATTAACATGGGATATTTTGATCAATGATCATTGTTCAAACAAAGAAATGAACTGTTTTTGGCACCTATGCTTTCTTGCTTTTGCTGAAAGTAGATAAGAAAATCCTGCACTGGATGATTTTATCATATGCAAGAGACAGCTGATACAGTTATTGTGATTTTAAGCAATATGAGCAAATTTATTTCATCACCAGGTTCTTAACTTAAAAAATCAGAAGCAAAAATGTGGTAATGAAGGCAAATTATAAGCAACTTGATCATTATATTTCTAGCTAAAGTGATTACATCATTAACAAAACTGAGCTTCCCTGAGTATGGGACAGATTGGACAAACATTATTATATCTTACTCCTCATTCTTACTAATTTTGCCAGTGTTTCTTGAGCTGCCAAGGTTTGGGCATGGTTATGTCCTAGCATCACTGTTCGAATACTGATACATGTTCTACAGAGCTCTTCACCACTATCAAAATGCCCACCTCTTAGCAGCAACTTTGCTCTGGTCTCAAGTAGAGTAGCCTTCAGTAATGTCACATCTTGCCACACATACTCATCCACCCTTTGATTGCCATGTCCCTTTTTCTTCCAACAGAGAGAACCATGGCACCAGTCTTGTATTTGAGATACAAATGACTTCTCCACTTCCTCTAGCACATTTGTGCACACTTTTAGGAGCTCCAATGCTGAGGTGCACCTTGAGAAAGTTGTGAAGGATCTGATTGCTAGAGGAAGAGCTATCTTTCTAATGTATAGAACCATGTCAATCGCCTTCAGCTGGACGAGTGGGGGCTCAGATTTAAATCCAAAAACAAGGAATGCCGAAGCCCAGAGATGATCAGCGTTCATTGATGGATTACCAATTTTCCTTATGCCTTGAACTGTAGCCTTTGGAGCCAATAAGCCTTCTTTTATTTTTGCAAACACTTGAGTTATAGGATGGAAATGAATCCAACATCCGGGTTGTTTTTTGGCTCTTCGTGCCAAGCCTAACTTGACTAGAAGAAAGGCCGATTCTTCTTCACTTTGGGGTGCCAAACCACAGCCAACACAACAACCAAATGTGACACTCAAGCATTTTTTCCATCTTCTAAACCGGTTTCCAGCGACAGGCAAGTTCTTAGCTGCAGCACCTAGCAAATTCACTGAAATTGGAGCTGGGCCAAACCAAGCACCAACAAGGAGCATTCTTGAGGCAAGAAAATTCCTTCTCCCATTGATTTGTTGTAAGATGACAAAGCAAAAGGATAAAACCTTCATTAGGAAAGGATTGTTTTTGCAATACTGTTCCTCGTCAATATTCATGTAAGGGGAAGTCGAACATTCTTCAATTGGAACTTGATTCACAGCTTCAAAGAGTGCTGATGGGGAGATTCCAAGTTCAGAAAGAAGCGATCCAACTACCCACAAACCAAAGCTCAACCTTCCCAGTTTCTGATCAAATTTTTGAAGGAACTCTAACTCCTCAGCTGGATAATCTTTCTTCCTTTTCCCTCTCATTAAAACCATTGCATCGGGCAAGGACAATGGAGGAAGCAGCATTATATCAAAATTCATCACCTTGGATAGCCTAGTAGTGATAATCACATGAGACCCTCCAGTGTTCCTTGGTATCAAGTCCTGTAGATCTTTCCCTTCCCACCATTCTTTCTCTGTTTCAAGATTATCGATGATCAGTAGGTAAGGCATGTCGCGAAAGAGCTCCCGTTTAACTCTCTTGAATGCTTCAAATTCTTGCTCGTCAAAGCTTCGAATTCTACCCCTTTCCTTCTCTGCATCAGCACTCACATCTAACCCCAAATTGAGTGATAGGTTCAATATGTTTTGCCTGAAGTATCGAGCTTCACCACCAACCCACAAAACCATCTTGTATCTTTGAGAATACCTGTGTGCAAATTCAAGTGCTAGCTCAGTTTTACCAGTGCCAGGAACCCCATTTATACACATCACATTGCTGGCCAAGCTCTTGTAGTTTCCACTTCTAGACTTCTTGTACTTCAATTTCTTCAGTGAATTTCTTCCCAGAGCTGGCTCAACCCAAGCTTCAAGATTTGGTTCTTTGCACTTCCCCAATTCCAAATTGATAAACCTTCCCCCTCTAGAGCTAACCGTATCACTTTCTTCATCAGCAAGGCCTTCAGATTGCCCACTAGCTTCTCCTTTGATGATTGGCATAGCATAATCTTGCTCAAGAGAATCCCCACATCCAAAGAAGGCAGTTTCAATCTCCATAATCTCCTTCTCTCTTCCAACAAAACACCTGTTTCTAGCAAATGGTAGCTCCTCGAATCCTTCTAAATCGCTCTCAGCTACACTCTTCCTTCCAAGCTTTGCTCTCAATATCCCAGCAGCTTTCGCCACACAGCTTCTCCAATTACACTCATTGGCTTCCAACTTGAACTCATGAGACTTCATCAGTCCATCAATTGCTTCTTTGCATTCTTTATCAATAGAACTGCAGTTGAGTAAACCCATAATGTCATTAGGCCCAGTGTCAAAGAAAAGTGGAATCAAGTTCTTCTTTTGAGCAAATAATCTTATCTCCTCCAAACTCAAATGATTAAGAAAGCTAGAGTTGGTGACAACCACCACACCATAAGTCACTGAACAGATAACCCTGTCAGCAATCTCATGGCTCTGACTATCCGAGTACTTAGCTCTATCAGC